AGCACTTTTAGAAATAACTCATTTGATCCTCACAACAACCCTAGGAGGTGGGTGATATAATTATTATCCCCATTTTACAGTGGAGGAAACCAAAGGTTAAGTTACTTGCTCAGGGTCACACAGCTAGTAAGTGTCTGAAACTGGATTTGCACTTGTGTCTTCCTGACTGCAGGCCTACTGCCCTCTATCCACCACACCATAAGCTGCCTCTGATACGTATGTGTGTGTGTAGATGTATATATGTGTATATGTATTTTCTGTATATATATATGTATACTATGTGTGTGTTTGTATATATGAATGTTGTTGCTCAGTTTCAGTTGTGTCCCACTCCTCATGACCCCATTTGGGGTTTTCTTGGTAAAGTTTGCCATGTCCTTTGCCAGCTCATTTTACAGATGAGGAAACTGAGGCAAACCGGGTTTTTCTTAATATATGTATATATATACTTATACACACACACATATATACATATTTGGATTTAAAACTATAAGATGGTTTTCATCTTTGTCTTCAGTATCTTCAGCAGCCGTTAGAGTACTTGGCACATAATAGGCTGTTAATATATGCATTTCCCTTTGGGTCAAGTCAAACTCAAGGCACTGAACCTTACTATAACTTAAAATTAACTTAAATTTAAGGCCTTCCTTTCATTAATTATTTTCTATTTATCCTGTACATAGCTTCTTTGTACATATTTATTGGAATGTTGTCTCTTCCATTAGATTGTGAGTTTCTTGAAGGCAGGGATGGTCTTTTGCCTTTCACTGGATTTCCAGGGTTTTAGCACAGTGTGGCACCTAACAGGTGTGTAATAAATAATTAAACAATAAATTATAAAAATTATTTAAAAAATCATAAACTATAAAAATAAATAATGAAAACACCAAATAAATAAATAAATGCTTATTGACTGACAGACTAAACTTTCCAACTTTTACTAATAAGAGCACAGTAAAGACTTACTGAATATTTAATTGAACTAAATCATTTCAACTGTAGGACCTGGATTCTCCCCTTCCCCTCCCCTTTCATAACCAGTCAGGAGAAAACTGGAAGGAAATAGTGACAGTTCAAAGGGAAATAGGGAGGGCTGGCTAAAGTGGAGAGGAGAAAGGAAAAGAGAAGAATGATCACTTGAATGGAAAAATGTCATGATTTCTGTTTTCAGTTTCAGCTTCTCCATTCCCACCCCCTTTTGGTTAGTTTCAGCTCCTCTTGAAGCTTCTGCAATCCATTCACTGAACCTCAGGCTTCCAAGCGAATCGGGACTTCGAGGCAGGGTCAGGAAATGTTGACTTGCCCAGGGTCACACAGCTAGCGTCTGAGACCAAATTTGAACTCAGGTCCTTTCTGATTCCAGGGTTAGTGCACCACCTAGCACCCTGATTGGCAGGTGGGGGGGTAGGGGGACGGTCACTGCTGCCAGCAGGGATGGTGAAGGTTAAAAATGGAAGGCTGGGTAAGGTTTTGGAAATTATGGAAAAAGGAACTGGTATCTAAAGAGAAATAAGTTTCGCAATTTGTCTTACTGGCATGCATTTTGCTCCTTATGAAATGAATAGGCTACCGTGTCAGGCAGTGTCCCAAAAGTCTGACTGCCGTTTTAAGCTTAGGGTTTAAGTAAATGCTTAGTTTTCAGTTCAAAACTTCACTAAGGCTTCTGAGACTCCCTGTATTTACATTGGAATGTGCAATTGTCATGACAAAAAAAAAAAGTGTTTTCCTCTTAGTTTAGCTGGGACTTGGAGAAAATTTTCAGGAGGTCATATTTAATTTGTGGTTTAATTTTGGGGGGCAGACTATAATGCTGAAAATATATTTTTGTAAGGTTACTTGAACATCATTCACATTGTGTGCTCAGAATTATTCCGAATCCGTTAATACTTCTCTGCGTTTGAGGATGCTTAGTTACAAGGCTTCTGAAGGTGATGTGCATTGCCACACTTGTTCTTGTATTAATAAACTAAATCTTTTTTGGAAAGGGAGCGGGGAAGGTCTTTATGATTACAGAAGGTTGGCGCTGTTATTATGTTGCCATTAGGTGACATACAAGGCTTTTAAAGCCCCATGCGTGCTGATGGCCATTCAGCCTTGGACCGCCCGCCCGGCCAGCCGCCTTTTCCCGGTCCGGGGACCATAGGGAGTCTTCCAGGCTGACCCTTGGCAGTGACAGCTGCGGCAGGGGGCGGGGCTAGCGCAGAGTGGGAGAGGGTTCTTTCGGGGCCGCAAGGAGGGTCATAGAGCCCGATCCCCTCGGCGCCACCGCCGCCATCTTGAGGAAAAGGGTCCCGGCGGAAGTAGTCGTCGACCCCGTCCCAACCTCGCCGCCCCCCCCCGCCGAGGCGCAGGGGCGCCTCCGCCTCCCCCGGGTCCGAGCCCTCCGAGGAGGGGCCTGAGCCGGCCTGGGGAGGGGCGCCCACAGGAGGCGGAGCGTCGGAGCCGTCGGGAGCGCGCGCGGGGAGGTTGGGGGCCAAGGTGGGCAGGTTGCGCTCTCCCTTTCCGGGAACTTGCCGGAGGAATCGCCGGCGCTCTGCGGGGAGGCTCCGGGGCGCTGGGAAATGCCCGGGGCTTCCTCCCCGGCCCGCCCTCCCCAAACTCCGGCCCAGCCCGAGGCTCTGGCGGGCGGCGCGGCCCGGCCGGCGGCCCCGGGGCTGCGGCCCCGACAGGTGAGAGGCTCCCGCGCCCCATTCCCCGTCTCCATTGGAGCCCTGGATTAGCCGCGCCCCGGCTCGCAGCCTGTGTGTGGCGCCCACGGGTTCCCACGCACGCCCGGGGCTACGCGGCCTCGACCCCGGGGGGCAGGGGCGCAGACCTTGGAGGGGGAAGGGACGTCCCTGACCCTGCCTCGACGTCCCCAGCTGCGCCCTGGTTAGCAGCCCGCGCGCTGCGGCTCCTCCGCTCGTGAGAAAGTGGGCTCGGGACCTGCGGGGCAGGGTAGAGCTAGGGGAGCCCCGAGCCCTGCTTCGGGCCAAGGTATAAAATGGAAAGGTAAGCTCCTCATCCTGTCCCTCGGGAGGCGCGGACACTGCCCTCTCGTTGAAAACAAACGCGTGCCAGCTCCCGGGAATTCCGTGTTCCTGTGGGTTTGGACACCCCCCCTCCCCCTCGGCTGCGGTGACTTGATGTGTGCCTCCCACGTCCTTCCCTCCCCCTCCCCCTCCCGCTGCCACCCCGGGACGGGGCGACGGCTCGTGCTGCTCCTGCCCCCCAGCCCCGCCGGTCACTCCTTCCCTTCTCCTCCTCCCCTTCCACCTTGCAGGCCAGTGGATGCAGTAGCGTCAGGTTTTGGACCCAAGCGTCTTACCTCGGGCTCCTAACCCACAACAAACCGTTGTCCGCAGCGGCTTCTTGAACCAGGTTAAGGAAAGGAGCCTCTGCCCTGTTTGACGCTCTCCACCTTGAGATTCCGGGGGCCCCCCTTTCATCCGCAGGTTAGTAGTAAGGGGCTTGGTAAGTATTTAGATCGGGAAGAGTTGGTGAATAGTTGCTTCTGCGCACAGGTGAGTGGAAGATGTTGGGTTGTTTTGGTTTTTTTTTTTTTATACAGACTGCAGACCTTTTTTCTCGGGGGATAGCCAGTTGGAATCCACAGTTTGATTTCATATGAACTCCTGTTATTTTAAGCCTTAAATGGTTCACTTCTGCTAAACCAAATACGGATTTCTTAAGAAATTTATGATTTGTTAAATGTTTAGTGAGGATGCGACATTTTCCATTGCATGTATTCTGTTGTTGAAAGATTAAGGGCTGGAAGGCCTTTTTTTGATATCCAACTTTTTTTTGGGGGGGGTACCACAATCCAGACTTTAGCTTTGACCAGTAGGTGAAAATACTCCATGTAACTTTTTTTCAAACATTTTTTGATTCTTTTTATTATTATTTTAAAACTTAAAACTCTTATTTCATTTTTAAGCCTTTTATAATGTTTTCTTCTATTTTGTACATTACTTGCCATGAGGCTATCAAAGTCAACTTGAAAATAATTACTGTAGTTTCACTCCCCACTGATTAACATTTAAGTAGGTAAGAATATGACTTCCAAAGGAAGTAATTCATATTTTACATCAAAATAAATTAAACGAGGCATCGTTATGGCTTTATGACGTGCCTTTTCATTTTAACTGTCTTTAATGCTAAAAGTATTTTCAGACTTTGTAGGCATCTGATTTAGCACATCAGATTTTATCTAATGAATTATTGAATTAGGTTATTTGAGTTAATACTAAAGTAGTACAAGTGAATAGAAATAGTTTCTTTTGTGTGTTACTGGCCATAAATAAAACCTAAAATAAGTAATGGACATGTTTTACCACCTTATTCTCCTAACTTTTCTTGGTCTAGACATATTTATTAACTGATAGTTTGAATGGCAGCATTATATACTGTGTAGATAGCTTGCCTGGGGAGTAGGAGAGACCTGTGTTCAAGTCTAATAGATATTATGGATACTGGCCAGACCAGTCACTTAAATTCTCAGTGCCTCAGGCAACTTTCTCAAGACTATTAAAGTTGAAGAATTGGTGCCTATCTGGGAACTCTCTGTGCTGATGAAATCACATGTCTAATAAAGAGACCCAAACTGCTTTGATTAGTTGTTTATTGGATTTTTATTTCTGATAGCCATTTATCTATTGACCAGTAACTTTCAAGATGGAAATTGGCCCTGGTTTGTTTTTGTCTGTGAATCTATATATATCATATGTTCATTCTTATAGAGAAAGTGATATGATTTTAAACACTTGCTCACATCTAGATTATAATCCAGTATTTGTATAATAGCCATTATTTATACTAGTGGTAGCCTTAGACATGACTAATTATCCCCAGAAATACCTGTTATTTTTTTCCCTAGTATGTCATCAGGCATCTCAATTGCTTGTTCTGCTTGCTAAAAAACTTGTCATTGTAGCTTTTTTCAGGAAGCAACAAACTTATTTCTTGTTTGAGACAGCTAGGTGGCACACTGGATAGAGAACTGGACCTGGAATCAGAAAGTTCTGAGTACTAATATGGCCTCAGGTACTTACTATCAGTGTAACCCTAGGCAAGTCATTTCACTTTATTTGCCTCAGTTTCCTCAACTATAAAATGGAGATAATACTAGCACATATCTCTTGGGGTACTGAGGATCAAATGAGATAATATTTCTAAAGTACTTATCACAGTGCCTGACACAGTGTAAGTACTTAGTAAGGCAATAGTACCTACCCTGTGATATAGGTGCTGTAGTGTTTAAGTACCTACTCTGTGCCTTCAACTGTGACAAGTGCTTTCCAAATATCTCATTTGATCCTCACAGCAACAACGGAGGTAGGTGCCCCATTTTACAGTTGAAGGTACTGAGACAAATAGAAGTAACTTGCCCAAGGTCACGTAACTAAGATATGTTTGAGGTGGGATTTGAACTTTGGTCTTCCTGACTCTAGGCCCAGATCTCCATCCCCTTTGCCTTTTAGCTGTCCCTTAGGTATAGATTGTAGAACTGATCAAAGAGGAGAACCATGACAGTTCATTGTTGTGGAAGTCAGAGGAAGGCATAGTCCAGAGTGTTAAATGCTAGAGAGTAGTTTAGGAGAAAGGAGGACAGCCTTTGGATTTAGTGATAAGGAGATCATCAGTGACTTTAGAAAGATCTCATTCTGTAGGATGTATAATTTGTATGGACTGAGTGGCTGATAAGGTTGTGGAGATAACAGGTAGGGACTTCCTTTTCTAGAAGTTGGGCAGAGGAGGTCAAGGAGAGAAGGGGAGGGAGAAAGAACTATTAAAGGTGTTGTTACAATGAATTAGCATTCACCTTCTGTAAGTGAATTAAGTTAGTACACTCTGATGGCCTAAAAATATTCTCTATTAATGGCACCTGATAAAAGACATCGATCTCTTAAAAAGAAAATGGCTTAATTGAAAATTGGATACTTTCCAGAGGTCCAGTTCATTATTTCTGTTCAGCTTTTAAAAAATGTTATGTTTATAAGTATCCACTTATTAATTGGTTTCTTTGTTCTGCTGTAGTACTGATTAGAGTTCTCATTCATCTATAATAATATTTAACAGAAGTGTAACATGCCTATATGTACCTAGATAGGGGATTTTTTTTTCTCTTTATCTACAGTATATATTTTTATTGTTTTTGGTTGGTCAGTTCTTGAAACTTTTCCTCCCAAGATTAAGACTACTCTATAGGTGATGTTTACTATACTGCATTTCTAATAAATGTAAGTTCTTACACATGGAATAGATGATAATACTGCCTGAATTTTGAAATTCAGGGCTTTTAACTTTTTGTTTTGTTTTAGTTTCCCTAAATTCCTGAATCTGGAAAAAGCTTATCTGTTTGGGGAGAGAAATTGTTGATAAGTTACATTTATTGTTTTTTTTTCTTCCAACAGTCAATAGATTATTGTTTACTTTTTTTGCTTTTTGACACACAGGATGTTTTAAATTTGAGTGTGAGTGTGTGTGTTAGATTACTATAGAATATACATTCTTCTCTTTATCCTTCTAACATATTTTACAGATTGGGACTGAGTAAATAATACTTCCATTATTCCATTTTTTAGCAGTTGAAACCAGTACGTAATGAACTGCTTAGTTCTGTTGCCTTCTTTTTGAAAATAGTAAAGATTCTTGCTGCTACATTATTGCTACCCTTTTTTATCTTCTACTTTTACCACTATTGTTATTGTTGTTCATTTGTTTCCAGTTCATGTCTGACTCTCCGGTGATGCCATTTGAGGTTTTCTTGGTGAAGACACTGGAGTGGTTTGCCATTTCCTTCTCCACTTTACCACTATTACATTGTCAAAATAAATTGCCCATTTAGAGGGCTGTTAGTACTGATTATATTCAGTAATCATTCTTAACTGTTATTGAATAACTTACCTGCCATGTTTTCTTATTATCTAAACAAGTTTAATGTATTCTAGTATCAGTTATGACCTTTTGGAAGCTCTATGAATTCTGTTCTACCATCTTTAGTTAGATTTATTCTCCATTCGAATAGCTTAGGGAATTTTTTGTATTGCTAGCTAAAAGTGTAAAAAATTCCATCTTAAATATACATTTTATAAATTGTGTTCTAAGATGTCAGTAATTACATAAATATTTTCTTATGAAAACTTATTTCTGAGACCCAAAGATTTAGTCCTTTTGAGATTTAGAACAAACATAAAAGCTTAAAACGGAATTCTTTGACTTTCATCTGTTTAAATGAAAAACAAACAAAAAGCAAGGGTAGCACAGTGCAGCTATATCAAACCCACTACCACTTTTTTGCACGTGTGAAAATAAAATTTACCACACTGGCTCCTGATTGTGTACATAATTAAGTTGAGGGCTTTGATGTACATTATGTTGTACCTTATAAGAACAACTTTCCTTGCATATAGTTGGGTCTGACCTACTAGACCTTTATAAGCTTTGCCAGAATCTTACTTCTGTCCTAATGAAAACATGTAATAAAGTTCTGCATTATTGTTATTTAGTATTGTACTTGAACATTTTAAGTAACTTTGAGATTCATCATAGCCTGTTCCATTCTGTTTCTAAATGCAAATAGTAGACACGCTAGTGTATATGTAGAAGTAACTGAGACCTGATCCCAAGAACTGTCTTGCTTAATTTGCTTTTGTATGAACCTGGGTACCATAACACACAGAATAGAATAGCATGGGGATAGGGACTGAGATTTTATTGGTATGGAAAATTTCAAGAAGAAGAAACTCCCACTGCCCATCCAAGTCAGCACCTTCTGTGCAATTTTATAGTGATGCAGCTGCTTAGGATAGGAGAGGTTAAGTGACTCCTTTAGGGTCACTCAGCCAAGATGTGTCAGATGGAACTTAAGGTCTTCCTGGCTCCAAGCCAGCCTCTCTGTCTACTACCACAAGGAGTGTATAAAAATGCACAGTAGTAGTATCTCTCTATAGATATTCTTTAGCTATCTCTGTTTCTTCTTCAACTAAAGTCCTTTTCTGATAAATTCCCATAGTTTGGTGGTTACCTTGAATTTTTGAGGATTGTGCCAGTAAAGTACAAGCTGTAGCAAGTCCTATCAAGACCCTTACGGACTCTGACAAAGAACTTATTTACAGATTTACAGAAAAATCTGTGTATTTACAGAGATATGCAGTAAAGTAAATCTGTCTGAGCACCGATAAGTTCAGAGAGATACAATACCAGGTTGTCTTCAAGGTCATTTTTTCCCCACTTTGGCTCCTGCAATTCTCTGAGATTATCGTTGATTTGATTCAGCAAATGTTGATTAGGTATCTGCTATGTGCAAGGCACTATGCTAAGTACTTAATCTACTGAATTCTAGAAGTATTGCTGTTTATGTCAGTGGAGAGAGTGAGTGTCCATACTGGTGGAATTATAGTTCTTTGGAGTACTGAAATTTCTTCAGGCTTACAAACAGTTCTTTTGCTGAGCTCAAAATGAGTCAGATTCATGAAAGTGTCACATTTTCTATTTAGATTATGAAAGCTAGTTCTGGACCTGTTTTGTATAGCATGCCCATCTTTCTGTATTTTTGTACATTAAAACCATACATGGAAGTTGATGAGATACAAAATAAGGCATGAGATAAGGCAGTAGTATAGAAGGGCAAAGATGACTTAATTCATGATGAGGGTTTGTCATGAAACTTGAAAAATTAATTTGCTCTTTTTCTTTCTCACAAGATAGTGATAGAGATGGCTAGGAGCTGCTTCCTTCCTATTTCTCTCCTTTTCCTCAAAGGTTCCTCACTTTTATTTTAATCAGTTTTCTGCTTTGGGCTTAGGTGGGAGACTTTCAGTAGGAAGTAGAAGCTGATGTTAGAAAAAAAATATTGAAGTTAAAAATATTGAAATTAGAGTTTACCTGTATCTCTTCATTCTCTTCTTAACTCCTTTTCTGTGCCCCTTTTCTACTTGGAAACTTTCTACTGAGATTCCTCACTAGCCAGTAAATATTAGTTATGTCATTGACTTGTATGCTAAGCATTTAGATTGAGAAATGCTTAGGGTACCTTAAGGATTTGTTTTGGGCTCAATTGGGAATTAGGTTGGAACCTTTTATGGCAGTCCTAAAAATCAGTCTGCTTACAGACATATCCATTGCCCAGAAGACTCTCCTAGACCTCTAAGGTGGTCACATGCTAGAGTGGGACATAGGATTCCATAGTGAACCTACAGAGTAGTACTAGTGATATCAGAAGCTGCTGTTGGGAATGTATGTGGCTGTAGGGAGATATAACTCAGTTTCCTGATTTGTAAAATTATGGGGTTGGACAAGATGACTTTTAATCCCTTCTAGTTCCAGATGTATGATCATGTTAACACTCTATTGTATGGTCACTTTATAATTCTCAAACTGTACTAAGCCAACTTATGGCTTACTTCAGCGGGCCAAAGGGAACAGCAAGGAAGTTCTTCTGTGGGGAGAGCACCTATGTAATTGGCACTATTTGATATATACCTTATTTTACTCTAGTTTTTTATCCAACTTGTGGGATATAGAATATAATAATTGCAAATGCGACTTTGTTCTAAATAAACTTATCTTTGAAGGACAACGTTAATATGAACCTTTTTTTATTGTATTTCTCTTTAATACAATTTCTTTTTAATAGTACTTAAAGGGGAATGTGTTTATTTACCTGTTCTATTAACATTGTTATTAGGACAGAGGAACGGGGGAAGGGAATGAAGAATGTATTGTTTCAGCAGAAGTACTCAGATTTATCAAATCATCCTGAATCTTGTTTACTTTTTTCCAGAAGTTTAGTTGGAGTAGTCTGGTGAGAGAAAAATGGATTCCTTTGCTGACCTGACTTCAAGTAACCTCACTTCATCAGTCAATATGACCAGCTCTTTGCCTGCAACAGTAGCTTATCATTTCAATTCTACCAGTAGTCCTCCATCAATGTCAATAACTAGTCTTTTCCCAGCCTTGTTAGAATGCTTTGGTATAATCCTTTGTGGATACATGTGGATACATAGCAGGAAGGGCCCACATTATAACATCAACACAGGCCAAAGGACTAGGGAATTTTGTTTCCCATTTTGCACTTCCAGCTTTACTATTCAAAAACATGGTTATACTTAATTTTTCTAACGTAAATTGGTCCTTCCTTTATGGTATCTTAATTGCCAAAGCCACTGTATTTTTTATTGTGGGTGTGTTAACATTACTAGTTGCCCGTCCTGACAGTCGATTTAGCAAAGCTGGATTGTTCCCTATATTTGCTACACAAAGCAATGACTTTGCATTGGGATATCCTATAGGTAAGTTTTTTTTCATGTTTTTATTATTCAGATTGTTTTATTATTTTATCCAGATGTGTTAGAAAATTTAAGCCTTATTACCAAAGAGATTTTTAAAAGTATGATGAGTTTCTTTCTCTGGGATGTTTAGGATCTCTTTCATAATTATGCTTTTCCTTAAACTTGGATGTTAAAATGAGCTGGATCATATATTTTTCCAAATCTCAGAGTTAAATTATCCTTTAAATGAGTATTTTAAAAATTTTATTTAATATTTTGGTTTTTCCCCAATTACACATAAAAACAATTTTTAATATTTGTTTTTTAAAATCTTTGAGTTCCAAATTCTCTCCCTTCTTTTCTCCTCCTCCCTCATTCAGAAGGCAAGCAATTTGATATAGGTTATACATGTACAGTCATGCAAAACGTATTTCCATGTTAATCTGATTTTTTCTTAAAAAGAGTATAACTGACCTTTAGAATAATGTTGATTACTTCCAAACTTTATTTTTTTCCTTCTCCAACCATCACAATTTAGAATAGGTTTAGTTTTAAAAAGTTGGTCCTTTTGCCATATTTAGGAAACCAAATTTTCATTGCTGTTTTTTGTTTCTAATTGAATGTTTGGTAACTGTACTAAAGGATATTGTAATGTTTTCAATGTAAATATATCCTGTTTCTAGCAAAAGTTTGTGGATCTGAAGACCAGATTTCTGTTTAATGCATATTATGTTTTCAAATTAAAGTTTTCAACTTATGGTAATGGGGTATATGGATAACATGGATAAATGAAACAGTCGCCAAATTCCATTTTTCTGATATTTTTAACTTTTTACCACCAGATATTACCATAGATGCTGAAAGGAATCTGATAGACTGCAATGTTCATCTTTCTTCTTTTTCTCCCTACTTTGTTAGTCCAAATGATGAGGAAACACGAATTGATATTTGTCCTTACAAGAGCAATAGTGGTATAAACTGATCAAGATATTTATAGGAATCTCAAATTAGTAGTGACTCGATTCTGCAGTATTAAATATTTAAAGAAAATAAATAGAATTTAACAAGACTGATAAGGTACAGCTTAAACCAAAAGGTTATTAGGTTATTATATTACAAATTTTATATTTACAATGTTATAAATATTGTTACAAATGTTATTATAAAATATTACAAATGTTACTATAAAAGAAGTGACACTTATTTCATATTTTAAAGTTTGCAGAGTGCTTTACCTAGATTATCCAATTGTAAGCCCACAACAACTCTGTGAATTAGGTACCACAGGTATTATCTCTATTTTACAGATGAGACTGGCTCAGAAAGGTTATAAGTCATTTATGCATGGCTACTTAGTAGGTTAGCAGTAGGACTTGAACCTAGAACTTCTTTCAAATTCTTACATGATTTTGATATATGGGAGACACCTTGTTGGAGAAGAGTCTCCAAGGAGGCATTGTGCCTTCCAAAGTAAATGCTTTTTTATAATTGGCAAACAATAAAAATAGTGTGTGTTTTGCAGCTTTCAGTCCATTGTGTGATGGAAGAGATGTTTGCTGTCAGATATTGTTTATGTATGTCTATCTGTTCTCTTCTAAGACCCTCATCAAAGATACTCTTGCTGCAAGTGAAGATTATTTACATTTAAAAAATTGGCATGCATAGGAAAGTAGGCACTTGAGTCAGTAGCAGTTGGTATTTTTCTAGTTGCCTTTTATGTTTAATACCAAGACGTGAACTTTTTTTTCCCCACTCTTTTAGTATCCTCTCTCTTTTTATATGCCTTGAAACTCATTACTCAATGCCCTCAAAATTAGGTCATCTCCAGGGTTGACCTCCTCTTTATATACTTGCTCTAATCCTGTTGCTTTTCCCATCTGTTTTCTTCATTGTCATCACTGCTTCTTTTGGTAGCACATTCAACACTGTAATATTAGCATCCAAATGTGGTGGCTCAGTTGTCCTTGATAGTGAAAATAGTTTGTTATAAAAATTATTAAAAGTCTTTTCCAGGTTTCCTGTGTCTTCCTCTTTCTAGGTCACCTCTGGGATGCCCTTGCTTTGTTGGGTTGCTTGCCAAACTTTTAAAAAAACTCATTTTTACCTCCACTGCTTCTCATTCTTATGCAGCAATATTGCTCAGAATCTTAAACCATTTCTCTTGTAAGATGTTACAAATAAATTTATGTTGTAAGCTGGCGTTACCCTTGGCTGCCATATCTTTCCACTTGACAAGGATATCAAGTTATTTGTGGCTTGAGATAGTTTTTAGGCTCTTTTAGTCTCAGATCAACTGATTTATGTTGGTTGAATATATATTTTATATATTCATTTCTTATTTTTCAGCATCAGTAACATTTAAATAGTAATAAACATAACATTTAAGTAAGTTGAGTTGGAGTTATTTTAATTGAATGCCATGAACTTTTCTCATTTTTATTTCAAGTTTTATATTAATTTTGATATTTCATTCTGCAGTGACTCCCACATCAGTAACAAGTTATTTCATAACTGTTAAATTATAATCAATTTCATTTTTTCTGGTGTTTGCTACTTACCGCATACAGTGGTTCTTGATTTATAATTACAAGTTTGTATAGTATACATGCCTTTGGCATCCCATTTCCTACTCTCGAACCATATTTTACACCATCTTCCCCCATAACTAACTTTGCATCGAATTAATTAAATAATAAAGTATATTGCCTTATAATCTGAGAAAGGTCTTGATACATTCTTTGTAGAATTTCTTACTTTCTCATCTTTTTTAACTGGTGTTAGTACATAAGCTGTAATCATTTTTGAGGAAGTCTTTCTGCAGATATTTATCTTCATCACTGCAATATAAGTTGAACATATGTTCCATGAAATGATCTATCTTGTTGCCTTTGGATGCATGATAAAAACCAGCTATGGTAATAACTACTTCATTTGCCCCTCTAAGGATAACCTATTAGCCATCCTTCCTTTTGTGTTATGGTTTCATTTTGTGAAGATTAATACAATTTAGTTTGCTTCAATTAATGAATAGATAATTTATTAGTTATGACATATAAGACAACACTTTCACAAAAACTAAAATTTGCAAGTATTCCTTATTGGTTCTGATGAAAATGTTCTAAGTTCTAACTACCACTTGTCTATGGGGCAACCTCACATTTAGCATAGCAGCGGCTGAATTAGGGTTTGTAAGTGGTCTGAAAACTCATTGTTAGCATCCTTTTTTCAACCACTCTGTTACCTTCACTTCTGAAATGGAATGGTGCTGTGGAAGCCCAAGAGTCATATTATATTTTTCTTTCTTTTATGGATTGTCATAGCCAAAGAATTCATCACCAAGTGGTCAACCTATTGGTGATGAGCCCCTCCATCCTGTATTTATAGGAATCTCAAATTAGTAGTGACTTGATTCTGCAGTATTAAAAATGCTGGTCCATAAAAACGGATGTCTGTCGCTAGGACCATCTTTGAAGCCTTTTTTGCATGGTAACACCTTTTACAACTTGTGCTTTGCTGGCATACCCATCAAGAAACCACACCATGATGAAGCATCAGATAAGGATCTTGTGAAGGGATGTTGCACTCATAAAATCAGATGTTTCAAAATATCGAAAATATATGAACTTTATGGAAAGTGGTATGTTGCCTAAATTTTAATAAACTATTGAACAAATTTCTTCCTCCATTGTTAGGAGGTGTTAGGCTTGAGGTATTTGGGCAATTCAAGTTGGAAGTTTAGGATGTTTTGGATAGAATGTAGAGTTGTTGCCTTAGGGAGTTATGTAAAGTAATGTAACCTCATATTTTGTCCACATTTGCAAAGCACAGAATGGTTTTTTTTCCAAATTCACAGTATCAGAGTCGTTGCCTCTTTCAGCTTTAGAAATTATGTGGGGGAGGGGAGAGGATGATATAAACTTAATGCTAGTGTGCTTCAGGAGAACAGTAAAGCTTTAAAAAGAATTCTTACTAGACTTTAATTTCCAAAGCAATTAGCTATCTAAAATGTTATCTTTGCGTTATTACCTAAAAGATGAAACTCTACAAAAAATAGAGTGCTCATTTATATAGTAATTTATGGTTACAGAGTACTTTACATGATCTCATTTGTTTTTCATATTATCACTGTGAAATAGGTAGTAAAGTATTATTATTATCCCCTCCTTGCCAGGTAAATAAACTTAGGGAGGTTAAATGATTTATTTGCCCAAGGTAATACAGCTGTTAGAATGGTGACTAGGACACAGGCCTTTCTGATACCTAAGTCCATTGCTTTTTACACAATAGAACACAGTGCCTCTTATTGAAGAAATGACACATCCATTTTAGTATGTATGGAAGAAGGAGAAATAATACATAGAGTTGGATTCAGTTAAGTGTTTTTCCTCCATGTGTAGTGTAGACCTTGCTAAGTAAGTACCTATATGAAAAACAGAGAATCAGGGTTATATTCTCCAAACACATTATCTTGATGAAACAAGGTGAAATTGTAAAAGTTATGTAACTTAGTTATATAAGTTTTGGAATATGCATCATCTGTTAATACCTAAGAAGGCTACTGATTAGGTAGATAAATATTTACCTGTCTCAATTCATGTTATCCTAATGTAAATTTAGAAACTTATCTTTCATATTCTTTAAATATTTATCTTGATCCTTGTGACTTTTTCTTTTCTTTTCGTCTGTAACATCAAATAAACTATAAACCTATATACCCACACACATTCATTTAGTTTACATAGCACCCATTGCCAAAACAATTAAGTTCTTTACAGTTAGGATATGAAGCAATGTCACTGTTTCACAAAATACACAGCTGGTTGAGAAGCATAGGTTTTGGTGGGTGGAGTAAGGGTTATTTTCAGAGCTCATTGAAACCTTTGTCTACCAGAGTAGTGTTGGAGTCTTATGCAAAGGGGCACCATACATCAGATTAAGTACTAGCCTGAGACTTCCACAATTCATGGGATATAAATGCTGCTTCTGCAGCCAGCTGTAGATGCAATTTTGGGCAGATCTTTCCATCATCTTGTTCTTTAATTTATTCTTTTGAATAAGTAGAGGATAACATCATATTTTATGAAATCCTTTGGGAAAGATAGTAAAACCTGATGATCTTATATTGCAAGATAGTTAAGATAGGCTGGATTGAAGTCAGGGTGATAGTTTACCATAACACATATTTCCTGCAAATATGTCCTTCATCCAGCTGCCATTCATTGTACATGTAGTTCCATAAGAAATTTTATTTTGGTGTTTTTTCCTGTTAAAATACAGTCTTGTGGGGGCAGCTAGGTGACGCAGTGAATAGAGCTCTGGCCTTGGAGTCAAGAGGACCCGAGTTCAAATCCAGCCTCAGACACTTAACACTTACTAGCTGTGTGACCCTGGGCAAGTCACTTAACCCACATTGCCTCACCAAAAAAAAGCAAAAAAAAAAGAAAAGAAAAGAAAATACAGTCCTTTCTGGGAAAGATAAACACATTAAGTTAACTCATATTAAATTTTTGGTGACCTTCATGATGGGAAGGGGAAGCCACCTAAGCACAGTAGGTGCTTGGACATAGGGAAAGAAGCTAGAAGTGAGAACCACCAGATTCTTAGTTATTTTCAGTTTTACTTAGGCTGAAATTTTTTAAAAGCAAGCCCACATATAATACAAATTAATATCCTAAATACAATTATAGAAGGAAGGTTGAAAATACTTCGCTTAAACTTTTCAACATCCCATAAGCACTTTTGAAAGAATTATTTACATATTTGTTTATTAAAGAGTATTCTGATCATTCATGAAAGGTTTTTTTGCTACACAATTTAGTGTAGCTTATTTTATGTTCCTAATGTACAGTTTGAATCCTTTCCAAATATCTTTTCTTAAAATTGTATCTAATGTAAACTCCTTACTAATTGAGATTAATCATAAAATCAGAAGCTTATTTATCATATTCCCAGCCACACGCCTGAAACTCTTTTATAATATCTGACAAATGGTTCATCTAACCTGTACTTGCATATTTCTAAGTGACAGGGATGTGATAAAGCAGTTCTAATTCTTGGGAAATTCTTACACTGAATTGAATTCTATTCCACTTTATATTCTACCTGTTGGTCTTAGTTCTGCTCTTGGGAGCCATGCAGAATGATTTTAATGCTTTTTTTATTTGACAGCCTTTCAAATGTTTGAAGACAGTTGTCAGCTCATATCTTGTCTCTACAACAACATCTCTTGCATACAGTTCCTCTTCTCCCCTCACATAAAACCACCCTCTTTGGAAAAAAAGACCCTCATTGCCTCTCACCTGGGCTATTATATAGTCTCTTATGTGGTTTCCTTACCTCAAGTTTGTCCTCCTCACAACTGTCAAAGTGATTTTCCTCCAACTCAGTTCTGACCACATTGTCCTACTCAATATTCAGTAAGCTCCGGTGGTTCCCTTTGAGGTAGTAGGGCATTGTGTCTATTTTGTATGTAGTAATATATGTAGCTGTTACTTTCCTGATAGAATGTAAGCTCCTTGAGGTTAGGGAGTCCCTAGTGCCTGGAACAAGGTAGGCACTTAGTAAATGCCTGTTGAGTGATTATGTTTTTGCCATCTTTTGTAATCTAAAGAGCAATCTGTTTGACAGAGAAGATGAAATCCAAATAAGATAATAAGTAGTTCATTTTATCTCAGCTATCTGTTCACCTATTTCGTCTATTCCAAGGAACCGATCTTTCCCTTTCTTATGCTGTTAAACATAGTTTGAAGCCATGCTTTTTGTCTTGTTTTTACAAATCTCACATCATTCTGGGCTTTAGTTTTCTTGACTCTGTTCTTTTTTGGTCTGTACCACTTTCATTCCCACTATACAACATTCTGTTTCCCCCCTGAGCCTTTACTCAAATGATCTCCCATGCCTGAAACGCTTGCCTTCCTCATCTTCTCTTGGACTCCATAACTCCCTTCAGAGTTCATGTGCCACCTCATGCATGAGGCATTTTCTGATCCCCTCCAATTGTTAGTGCTTTCCCACCCAATCTCAAAACTACTTTGTGAATATTTCTATTTATTTGTGTACATTTTGTAATCCCCCAATAGAATGTTAGTTCCTTGAGTGCAAATGCTTTTTGTTTTTGTTTTTGTACGTACGTTATCTTACATAGTAGATGCTTTTGTTGTTTAAATATTTTTTCGCTCTACTTTCAGTTTGGGGGTATCTTAAATTCTGATATTTCTGTCCAAACAGGTGCCTTAGATGATGCATTACATTCTAAACCAAGATTATATCATTTCAGTATCTTAAAGCTGTACTGCAGAAAACTAAAACCCATTCTTTCCCCAGCCAGTATTCTACCTGTTAGTTAAAATTAATAGGGTATTCCTTTAGCTATTAAAAACAGTTATTTAACACAATAAATATGCAGTGTTTAATGCAGTAAATGCTTGGAATAGCTTCTTTTTTAACCTTCATCCCCAGATACCCCCAAAAGTATTTTGAACAAAAAAGGCTAATGTGATCAACTTGTATTTAGATTTATTTTGAAACATTCTGTAATTATGCATATGGAAGTGAAACTGTATTTAAATAATGTCATCATTTTATAAATCAATTTTAACTCTTGTTTTCCAGTCGAAGCTTTATATCAAACTACTTATCCAGAATACCTTGAGTACATTTATTTGGTGGCTCCGATATCTCTTATGATGTTAAACCCTATAGGGTTTATCTTCTGTGAAATCCAAAAATGCAGAGAAAATCGTGATACGTCTCAAAACAAAGTGAAAATAGTTGGACTTGGACTCCTGCGTGTGCTGCAGAACCCAATCGTATTTATGGTCTTCATTGGAATTGCCTTCAATCTTATTCTTGGCCAGAAGGTGCCAGTTTACTTGGAAAAATTTCTGGATGGGCTTGGGAGTTCTTTTTCTGGCTCAGCCCTATTTTATCTTGGTCTCACAATGGTGGGACAAATAAAGAAACTAAAGAAATCTGCATTTGTTGCAATAATTCTGCTTGTCACAGCTAAACTGTAAGTTTCCTTTGTTTAATGTGGGGTTTGTATCTTGTGGAAGCTCCAACACTTTAGAAGGGTGCTCTTAGGAAAGCCTTAGCCATGGTTCTGGAGCAAGTCCTCATGCTGCTGGTTTCTTCAACTTAAATGCATTAGTAATGTCCCTACTTTATAAGATACTTAAGATGAAAGGAAAATGTATTTTTTTTCCTAGAAAGTTACTTCTTCATTCTACTTGCATACCTTACTCTTTTGCATTTCACCGAATGAGGATAAAAATGTTCTTGGTTTCACTTCTTGGAGTCTTCTGATTTCACTTCTCTTTCACACAGTATAATTTACTTTTTTTTCTCCCTAGGTGTCCTGCGTGAATTTCATGTTTTCAAATGTTTTGAAACCTTGAAAAGCAAGAAGCTTTCAGATTTTGAGGGAGGTCTAGATCTGTAATTTCACTGGTGTGGAGGAACTCCTGTTGTAGAAACTCCAAATACCAATATTGACCAGAAACTCCTCGAAGTGACTTGCCCATGGTCTCATATATAGTTTGTCAGTCAGGTCTTCCTGATTCCAAGATAGGCCAATGCTTTTCTAATTAGAATGATTTTAATTTAAATGGAATTCGTTTTGTGGATTTAGAAACGAAAAAATTATGTTTGAGGCTGATGAACACTCACCTCCATTACTTGATCCCAGCATATCTAAAAAAAAATGTGTAGCTCCTTAGTAAATTTTTTAGAGCTTATTAGCTGTGGAGTTGTAATTCAGTCCAGGTGACTTACTGAAAGATTATACAGAGTTGCTTGGGACATATGGATAATGTATAGTACTTTTATTTGAATATCTTAAACTCATTAGATGATAATAGCTGCAGCATAATTTGACTTATAACATGTCCTATGTAATATCTAAATGTTCATAATAGCAAAAATTTAGAAAGTTACGTGATTCGTGTACTCCCATTAAGGAAAATATATTTTAGTATTGCTACAGTATAATAATTATCATCCTAACAGTAGTAGTGGTATCAGCCATTCTGTACATATAAAATATAACTATTCTTCCCATCAGTTTATGATTTAGACCTTGTTTTCTTCTTTGTTCCTTAACTTGGCTCATTATCATTGTTTTTTCCTTAGATTATTAAAATCCAGGAGTGTCATATAATCTCTTAAACTTTCTAATGGAGTAGGGTTTTTTTCTGAAAAAGGAGAAATGCATTTAGGCTAACAAGCAAAAGATTTTTTAAAAGTGCTTAAAATGGGGGCCGCTAGGTGGCGCAGTGGCTAGAGCACCGGCCCTGGAGTCAGGAGGACCTGAGTTCAAATGCGGCCTCAGACACATAACACTCACTAGCTGCGTGACTTTGGGCAAATCACTTACTCCTAATTGCCTCACCAAAAAAAAAAAATTGCTTAAAATGTTGAGAGGCATCATGGAATTCAGGAACCGTGGGTTATGGTCTTAGTGTGGTTCTTTACTGGCTCTGTAACTTTGGGGAAGGTCACTTAATTTCCAGTTTTCTTCCACATCTGTACAATGAGGTGTCAGAATAGATGAACTCTGTACTTCCTTAGCTTTTACATCCTGTGAATCCTATGTCTAGGCCATGTCAATAAGTACCATATATGTTGGTGTTGTAGTGCCAGTTTTTATATCAATTTTTATTGAAGATTTATTTAAACTTTGATGGAGGGATCACTTTGATTTGCTATTTTTCTTGTTTGGAAATGAGCAGGATGTACAAATATTTGTATATAAAGATGGAGTTAATTATAAGGATTTTAAAAAAACAACTTGGCTAAATTATTATCAGACTTTTTCTATAACTAATAATGTCTTAATATTCTATTTTCTAACAGCCTACCAAATTTTATTGAAGAGTTTGATTTTCTAAAAAGGATTTCAGTAATTTCCCTGAAAATTTCTTGTCAACTTTCACACCATAAACAGTTCGTAAACATTCAAGTAGACCAATAGAATAAGGAAAAAGAGTTATTATTGAGGTGCTATTAAATCTTGTGCCTGAAATTTTTTACCAAGTTAATTAAATACATCAAGGACCTGTTGATGAGTGAAGTTAAAAATAAAGTCAGAGTCCTTTTAAAAAGTGGTCTTAGGATACATGCTTCGTGCTTTCAATAAAATATACCCAGGTGTCCATACATAAAATATGTGCATTTCTCCATGTGTAACGATATGTTTGTTTGCAAGAGAGGTAGTAGAAAACAGAGAAAATGAGGGTGAACCAGGAACTTGCACTTTTTAATTACAATATGAATGACTTATTTTCTTTTCAGCCTGGTGTTGCCACTTTTGTGTAGAGAAATGGTGGAGCTCTTGGACAAGACCGGTGGTATAGTGAACCATACTAGCTTAACCAATTATGCATTTTTATATGGAGTCTTTCCAGTAGCACCAGGAGTGGCTATCTTTGCAACACGGTTCAACATGGAAGTGGAGATTGTATGTACATATTGCTTCAGAAATAGTTCATTTTATAATAGTGGAGTAGTTTTTACAATGTAGAAATCAATGTTATTTTCATGACTGTGTAACATGGTAGTGTTACTTCAATAGAAACTGATCCCTGTGGGCCACATATTGACTTTAAAAACCACATATTAACACCATCTATGATGTATTTTTATTTGTTTTGTTAAACATTTTACAATTACATTTTAGGTATTGAGTTTGACATCTCTGGTTTAACATATATATACTGATCTAGCAAGTATTTAGATATATTAAATATGTATATGCATTATATATATACACACAGAAATAATATTCTTTTCCTATATGTGGAAAAAGAAACATTGTTAAATAATTCATCTTTTATCTTAAGCCATTTTGAATTTTGATTTTACCTTCTTAGTTTTGAATTTTTGATAGTTATACTTACGTACATTATAGGAAAGAAAATTTTCAGTATTTGAGATATCAGTTCCATAAATAAAAATAATGTATGTAAAAGTGCTTTATAACCACAAAATGCTGTATAAATTAAATTATGAGCAATATGATTCAGTTTGCTAGATATAAAACTCCTGAATTCAGTATAATACAACAAATATGCCTAACACTCATGCTGTTCTAATATTAAATTATTATCAATGATCTAGAATAATATATATATATATATATATATATATACACACACACACACACACACACACACACACACACACACATAAAAACTTGTCACCTTGTAAAACATTGGTCAGAAAAGTTTTGAAGTACTATGAATGAACAAAACTCTTTAAGGAAATATACCAGATAATGTTCATAGCAATTAAATGTTGGAGAGATCCTTTTTTTTTTTAAACTTTTTTTTCAAAAGGTAATTTTCCTTTTAAAATCATGATGTCTGAAGTCTGTATTTCAATTACCATGTAAGTTCTGAAAACTACTTAGAAACTTCTTAAAATATACCAAAAAATATAGGGAGTAGTAGCAATTAACAGTGAAATTTTATACTGTATATATACTTTAGATAGAAAATTGAGTAATAAAGATTACGGAAACGAACTGTAGAAAATGAATTTATCTGGTATCTTTTCAAGGAAACTGAAGAAAAGATTATTGAGTTAGTATCTGTATTCTGCATTTTAAAAAATTTGACATTTGTTTTAGATTACCTTTGGTATTTTCTGGAAACAAAGTTTGCTTCAATTTTTAAAGCAGAATTGTGAATTTTTCCACATCTGGATCTCTGTTTGCAGGTAACCTCAGGGATGGTGATAAGTACTTTTGTGTCAGCTCCAATCATGTATGTTTCTGCATGGTTACTAACCATTCCCTCCATGGATCCAAAACCCATGGCGTATGCCATCCAGAATGTTAGTTTTGATATAAGTATCGTCAGTTTGGTCTCGTTGGTAAGTAACAAAGTAAAAATGAAATGACAAGCAGAAAATAATGTCAAAGGGAACTTTTTTTTTTTGAGATTTGATATTTGACTTCTTAATGGAATAGCAAATCAATTTTTTTTCAAAGTCATGATCCTTTGAATTGTTTCTGGACAGTAGACCCCTCTCCCTACTTCCCGCCCTCCTTCTTTCTGGGGCCACAGAACCTAGAACGATCCCCTCCCTGCTGGCTCTCATCTCTACCACATACTTCTCTCAATATCTTCTTGAAAAAAAGTTCTATTGATACCTTTTGTTTTCTGTCAGAGTAATTGCTGAATATACAACATCCCCTTGTCCTTAGCCCAGAATCAAACCCTCCAAGAAACAAAAACAGAGTTAAGGAAACAGCCTGGATACAGGAACTGCCTTGGGCGCTGCAAGGCTCTACAGCCCTAGCTGTAGTCCACCTAGGGGTGGACTCACTGTATTCTCAGAGAGTTACTGGCCCTGTCCGTTGGCTTTTGTTTAGCCATACTTTTATGCTCAGTGTTGCAATCTCCTGGCTAGGTCCTGCTCTCAGTGAGCCAAGAGGAATTCCCGTACCCACCTAAATGGTCACAGTGGCCATTTTGTGGTAGCAAAGCACTGGAAACAAGGTGGGCACTAGGGGTGTCGTGGTATCTGCATGACTGGAGAATAAGCCATGAGAAGTATTGAGAAATTCTAAGAAATAATAACTCAAAGGTCCACACTGCTCTAAGATCTGCAAAGCTTGTTGGATCCTTACAACAATCCTAGGAGGCCATGTAATTCTGGTCCAGTCCCTTCCAAAGGGAACTTTATTATAGAAGGGAATCAGGAGTTTGAAAATAAAGTTGGTTTTGTTTTGTTTTTTCCTGTCAAGGCCCCAGATTTACAATAAAAGGCCTGGTTTTGAATCTAAATTTCACTATTTTTAGTCCATCTGGTCTTGAGCATGTCATGTTATCCTTTAGGCTTCACTTTTCTTGTATGTAAAAAGATGGGGGTTGGACTAGATCAGGGGTGGGGAACTTATGGCCTCAGGGCCACATGTGGCCTTTTCGGTCCTTGGATGTGGCCTTTTGACCAAGTCCCAAGTTTTACAGAACAAATCCTTTTATTGAGGGGATTTGTTCTATGAAGTTTGGATTTGGTCAAAGGTTCGCACTTGAGGTCCTGTAAGGCCACTTGTGGCCTCGAGGCCACAGGTTCCCCACCCTTGGACTAGATGGTCTCCTTAGGTCTCTTCCATTTCTAAATCCTGTGATCCTAAAGAGTTTAAAATCTGTAGTAGCTTAGAAAAGCCAACTCTGTTTACTGGGCATTATAAACTTTTGAAGCTGCATTCAACTCTAAAAAATCTTTAAGGTTGAATGCAGCTTCAAAAGTAGTTTAACCTCCTCATCTTAATTTGTGGTGGGTTTTGAGATATAATTTTAAGTTGAATGACATTAGCTAAAGTTAGATGATTGAATGTTGTAAGTTCTAGAAGTGTTTAAGATTGTTCATCAAATTTGTTATTGAAATTCAGAACATGTGACAAGCATCTGTAAAAAAAAAAGTATTCATAAATCATAATGTTCTGATTTTAAATCCTGTTTTAAATACCTGGTAAAGGAAAAGAGAAGAATCTGCTGTTTTGTTAACAGAGAAATATAATTGACAAAATGTTGAAATTTCTCTTTTTTGTCATATTGAGGTTCTTAGAATCTGTGCTGAGTCTTAGGGATAGGGACTGTGTGGACAGCATTGCCATTTGCCTAGAGGGAACAAAGAAAGCAGCCAGAAGATTTAATTGTAGGCTGTGTAAAGAGATGGACTAGAGATTTCTTCATTCAGAGAATAAAGCATAGAGAAGTGTTAAGTTTAGGGGTTAGTGCTACATATGTTTTGATATGCTTGTGTATATGGCCTCAGGAAAAGCTATCCATAATTTAGCCTGGCAAGTACCTCAGAGGATGAGCACCTCTCATGGGAGGGCTTGCTGAGCCGTTTTCAGGGCTGTTCATCTACCTTTAGTATCCACCTGGCACTCAAGTCTCACCTGTAGCTCCAAAAAGCCATAGCATACACAGTGGCCCCCTGGTAAACCTTCTCAGCAGATGGGCCAAACCAGGTTGAGGGTAATTGATGGGCCACAAACCAATCGGTGAGTTTGGGGGGTGTCTTCCCCAGGCATGTGAGGACTTCTCCCAGTGGAGTGGGCAAATGAGAAAAAAATTGTTTCATCCACTATTAAGGCGGTTGAAGCAGGCACTGTGGACTGCTTAGAGCTTGGTCAGACATCCAAGATACCAAGGTCATCAACTGCATCCTGGGCGATCACCAGTCGTCCTGATTCTTGTCTTGCCACTGGACTTGGATGACTCTGGAAGAGAGAATGAGGTTGATAACTGTATAACTCTGACTCACTTAAATCCAGTTCACTTGTGAGTCAAGATATCACCCTGTGGTGTTATTGGTCCTCTTCAGAAACAAAGGACAAAACAACAACAACAAATAAAACCTGTCAATTCCAAAGAGCAAAAAGAAAATGACTTAACAAGGTGTGTAGGAGCTCTCCTTTACCTACAGACATTTAACTGACATGTGAGTTTAATAACACACAGCTGTCCCTGCTTCCATCCTGTCCACAAAAAAATTGAAGTGTAGGAATAATCCAAAAATGGCTCTGGATGTCTGTTTGGGCTAGGTATTAGTTTTCAAAGGCTCTATTCAAGGGAGAATTTCAGGTAAAAACATTATTATATCATTTCTCTGATTTTTTGCTTTAGATACTGTGTTTTACTCTGAAATGGAATAAAATAGACTAAAGTAGGAATTTTTAAAAATAGCTAACTGATGAGTTACTAGATAAGTACTCAGTTGAAACCATGTTATAAGCTGTTAACCTCTTAATCTTTCAGATCTGGTCACTTGCTGTTCTACTTCTGAGTAAGAAATATAAACAGCTTCCTCATATGCTAACAACTAATTTACTCATTGCTCAGGTTAGTAAGCTTAGAGGTGTTTAGAATTAAGAATTTCTTAAGGATTGCTCTAACTACTGTGAAAGATTATCATCCCCGTAGGAGGAAGAATATTTGCTTAGTTATAGTTTCCCAGATCTTTTCTAGTAAAAAAAATCACCAAATTATAAACCAGTTACAATTTGATGCTCCCATTATTACCTGATATGAATTATTTCAGTATTTATGGAATATTTTGAAATCAGGTAGGAATTCCTTTAATGGTTCTGAGAATGTTACCAGATTAAGAAAGTCAGCACAGCTTAGAAGTCTGGGTGGTAAGCAGCAACTGTTGCTCCTCAGCCCTTTGCCAGCCTCTCTCTCTCCAAAAATGAAGCTGCCTACAGGCAGCAAATAAAAACATGCACAGTTAAAGTCTTGTGGCTTGCGTTATATGGTGGTTTCAGAGCTGTTTTTTTTTTTTAGGCAGTTGGGGTTAAGTGACTTGCCCAGGGTCACACAGCTAGTAAGTGTCAAGTGTTTGGTCTGAGGCCGGATTTGAACTCAGGTCCTTCTGACTTCAGGGCTGGTGCGCTATCCTCTGTGCCACCTAGCTGCCCCAAGAGCTGGTTTTCTTGAAAGGGGAAAGTATGTGTGTAAAGATCTCTTCGTGACAGAGCAGTATGGCTCTAGGGATCTAGTATTCCCACACTGATGTGTGTCTCTGAAAAAATCTTGGTACCACACTGTGCTATGAGTTGCCTAAATTCTTGAGCAAGAGAATAATGAAGGTTTTGGGAGAAAATGAATCTGTATCACAGGGTTGGTGACTGCTGTGCCTTCATAATTCTTTTAGACATACTTGAATTAAAGGCCATAACACCTCAACAGTGAAATAACTGTGGTCATAATATTATAATATGTGAGATAATTGAATCATTAAAAATAGAACTTTTTATATTTCTAGTTGAATGTTTTGTCATAAACAACTGAAAGTAATATTAACACTTTCTATGTCAAGTTTTTTTTAGCATTATTTGGAAGAAATTTGATAGAATTTGGACAGAAAGTTGATAGTTAAAACCAGAATCATTGTCAGTTTTTATTGAGTATACTATTAATATAATAGATTTTTATCATGCTCTGCAGCACACTGAGATTTAGCTATAAATATTTTAGTCATTATTCAATAGTAATTAAAAGTTATAATATTATCTTTACTGCTAATGAAACTTGCACAGGTATGACTGACTGTTCATAATGGATAGCTTTTCTTTTGTATTAACATGTTATAGTTTTCTTTACTGAGGACTAAATTGTTTTGTTTTGTTTTTTAAATAAATCTTTGTCCACAGTCTATTGTCTGTGCTGGAATGATGATGTGGAATTTTGTTAAAGAGAAGAATTTTGTTGGACAAATTCTGGTGTTTGTTCTGTTATATAGTTCTCTCTATAGCACCTACTTATGGACAGGTGAGTTGTAGTATGAATGGAAGTTGTGTACTTTTTGAATTAATGAATGAAAAAAAAATCTTTTATTAAGCACTTAATATGCCAAGTACTGTGCTAAATGATGGGGATACAAATATAAGAGTAGAGACAGTCCTTCCCCTGGATTCAGGAGAATGGTGCCCAACGAGGGATGTTTTGCTTTGAAAATTTACAAGGGTGAGAAGTGGAGCTATAGGAGAGCAGTAGCATTGGCAGTATTGATTTGATTATGGTTCCAAAACTAGAAAGCAGCTAATGAGGAGTGAGGGTGGCTAGTAAGGTATGGTAATGCCTCCTAGGAATGTATAGGTCATGTGAGGCCTACTCAAATCAAAACAGAGTTATTAGCAAGTAACTAGAAGAGAAGGAGAGGGGGAGTGAAACTAGTAATATTAAGACTGATTTTTGTAAAATGCAGCTAACAAACTAGCTACTAAAGTATTTCCAGAGGAGCAATTCCAAAACAGTTTGAGCAAGGTGAATTATTTAGACTTGGAAAAGATGTGAGGTCATCTAGTCTAATTGAGGCATTTTATAAATGACACTATTTAGGTCTAAATTAAGTGACTTAATCTAGAAAAAGATTTTCTTCACTTGTTGAGTCATATTCAGAAGTAAAAAATCTGCTAAATGCTCATTTAATTGGTCATTTATTGTACACAACATAAAATCTTGGGTAGATTCTCTGGGCCTTAGTTTTTTCATCTGTAAAATGACAGGATTGTACATAATGATCTGAAGGTCCCTTCTGACTCTTAGTGCTAGCTCTGAGTTGACAACCTATAATAAACATGCCAGTGGTGATCTGTGAAATGATTTGGGGTAGCAAAGCTGCAGCTTCCTTAGGCAAAATTGTGAAGTAGGCAAAGTTTCTATTTGGGATCTTCTTCTCAGTTCATTTAAATTTTTAAAAGGAACTCTGAAGATATAAAATGGGAATTAATTGGGTTATTAGTATAGTATAAATAGTGCTGGATTTGGGGTCAGAGGACTTTATTTCAAATAATCCTAGCTCTCATTTACTACCTGTGTGACTTTGGGCAAGTCATTTAACATTTTTAGCCCTCAGTTTTCTCTGTGTAATGAGAGAGTTGGACTAAATGACCTCTAGGTCTCCTTCAGCTCAGATTTATGCTCCTAATAATTTGAGGGAAGTGGACTAGAAGGCTATCTTTACTTCTTAGGAGATCATTCTGTGACCATGACATCATAGAATGGCTCATGCAAAGTACGTGAGAGTGTATTCTGAGGATGTTCCCTTCCTTTTTACTTTCTGTCATCATTCCAGTGCTTGGAGCTCTGCTTGTGCTGGTGGACTTTCCAAGGGGTGAGGAGTAACATGTGAATAGCTACTACCATTCCCCTTTCCCCAACCCCACTCGACAAGTGATACTTAGTATACTAAGATTGTTGACTCAATTAATTTCATCTCTAATGCAAACTCTTGAGTTTTCCCAAAGTAATCTCTAACCCACAGAGGATGACAGACTGCATGCTGAGGACAGAGGCCCACACTTGACAAAAGTAGCTCCAGAAATTTTTTAAGAATTGGATTTTCCACCCCTGGACAGTGTATGAAATGCATGTCCTTTTTTTTTTAAAGAGTAAAGAAAAAGTATCTTTAATCTTTATTCAGGCTTTACCAGTTCTTTCTCTGGGGATGGATAGCACCTTTCATAATTCAGAATTGTCTTAGATCATTGTATTGCTGAGAATAGCTGTTATTCACAGTAGATCATCATAGGATATTTCTGTTGTTGTGTACAATGTTCTCTTGGGTTTGCTCATTTCACTTTGCATCAGTTCATATAAGTCTTTTTTTTAATTATTAATTTATTTTGCTTTGTCGGCAATCACTTCCATAAGCTTTAGAGCTTTAAATTTTTCTCCACCTCCCTCCCCAAGATCGAGCACAATCTGATATAGGCTATATACATATACATTCCTATTAAACAAATTTTCACATTAGTGATGTTGTAAATAACAATTAGAACCAATAGGAGGAACCACCAGAAAAAGGAAGCAAAACACAACAGAAGAAAAAAAAATAGCAAATACTATGCTTTGATCTGCATTCAAACTCCATAGTTCTTTCTTTAGATGTGGATAGCATTTTCCATCATGAGGCCTTTGTGTTACTGGGAAGGATTAAGTCTGTCAATATTAGTCATCTCACAACGTGGCTGTTACTATGTACAATGTTCTCCTGGTTCTGCTCACTTCACTCAGCATCAGACCATACAAGACTTTCCAGGTTTTTCTGAAGTCTGCCTGCTCATCATTTCTTATAGCACAGTAGTGTTCCATTACATTCGTATACCACAACTTGTTCAGCCATTCTCCAATTGATGGGCATCCTCTCAATTTCCAATTCTTTGACACCACAAAAAGCGCTACTATAAGTGTTTTTGTACATGTGGGTCCTTTTCCCATTTGTATGATCTCTTTGGGATACAGCCTGTGAAATGCATATCTTGAAGGTAAAAGGTACCTCAAAGGTCATCTAATCCAAACCTGCCTAAACCAAAAATCCCTTTTATACCATCTCTGATCACTATTCTCCAGGGATAATAGGACATCACCTGTCCTGGTGACTTTGAATGACATAGTTTCAGAATCAAGTTTGTAGTAAAGCAACTGTAATTAAAAGCTTCTTACGTTTTATACCATGGCATTTTTGGATTTTAAAACTGCACTGCTTTACTCGGTAGTGTTTAATTTTTAGTTGCAGTTGTTTTGTGTACTGAAAGTTGTCAAAAAGCAGAATGCTAAAATGTAAGCTCATTTTACAGCTTACTACTTCTCTTGGTCTAACTGAAAAGTGGTTTTAATCAGTGTTCATACTTGCTTTGTTTTTCTACTAATTGCCACATAGTTGACAAATTTTCATTTTTTGAAACATCTTGTTCATAGGCCTTCTATCAATTTCTTTGTTTCTGTTGAAGAAGAAAGAGACAATACAAATTCCTGTAGGAATTATCATTATATCTGGATGGGGGTGAGTTGGTGGCTTTCTTTCTGCTTAATACCTTTTCATATACACAATTGCTATTCAAATGCCTCTTTTCTGTCTCTTTCCTCTTGGTCTTGCAGCATTCCTGCTCTTCTCGTGGGTGTTCTTTTGATAGCTGGAAAACATAATGGTGATAGCATTGATTCTGCCTTTTTTTATGGGAAAGATCAGGTAAGAGGAGTATTTAAGAAAAATCTTTGCATCTTATGAATATCTTCCAATTTACGATCGAAAACCTCATACAACCTGGGGAGAGAAGAACTGGGGTCAGATACCACCTGAAACATATGCTACCTGTGTAACTGTAGGCAAGTTACCAAACCTCTCTAGGGCTCAGTTTCTTCATCTGTAAAATGAGGGAATACATACAGTGATCTTTAAGGTCCCTTTCAGCTCTCAATTTATGATCCTACAATCCTTAAAAATGCTGACAGCATTTAATATAAACAACTTTAGCCATCTCAGATGAATTAAGTAAATTATACTTTAATTAGCATCTATCACTTACATTAGTCAAAACAAGTATCATGAATACTTTGCATTTGTATAAATGTTTTTAGCTGAGGTTCTCCAGTGCTTGAACAATTATTTAATTCTCTTAAATGGGTGTATGTTTTAAATATAATCTGTGTAAAGCCATCAACAGTTAAACAGTAACAAAACAAATTTCTTGAGTCTTAAGTCATTTTTAGGTAAGAATTTAAAAGATAAAAATTTTTGGAAGAGAAAGGTGCTTGAAAGTAGAGAAATAGAGCCCATGTAAAAGTGGGCTTGGCGAATCCTGTAGAGGAAAGAGGAAAGCAGGCTATGTAAAAGAATTGAGGGACTGAAAGACTACCAAATTGTGTGCCTTCTGAGTGAATAGGTGTTATTCTTTCAGAAGGTAGGTCTGCAGTATTGAAGAAACCATCCTGAAAGAGGGAATAGGTGGGTTGCCAAATAACTTGGGTGGGGGGGGGGTGTGGGTGTGTGACAGGAAACTTCATCAGTCAATGTTTTTAAATACCTATTTGATAAAAGAGTATACCAATAAAACATTTGAATCACCACAATGAAAAGCAGAAGAGCATAAATGTTATGCTTTGAACCAGTTAAACAAAAATCTTTTATTCATTCATAAAAGGAAATTCTAAGTCATTTTGAACCATGAATAAGTATTTAATTTTGAACTTGTTTTTGTGTCTTAACGTACTAAGATTGTTAATATTATTGTGAAAAGAATATCATAACTCCTTTTTCTGACTCTGACAGATGATCACCACAGCAGTCACCCTGTTTTGTAGCATATTGATATCAGGCGTATCACTGATGTGTATGAACCAGAGTACACAGGAGGGGAATTACGAGGGATTGGATCGTCGTTCTCAGAACAGCAAAACAGGGGAGGCTGAAAGGACTGCTGTTGAGGAAAGTCCAGTGCCAACAAATGAACCAGAACCGTATACAAGTTCTACTCTAGAAAGAAGTATGTCATTTAAGTCAGTGTTTATGTCTTTATACTTTAATAAATGCTTTGTTTTAAAGGGCCCTAACTGACTTGACTTGAGTATTCTAGGTATTTATTCATCATGTGGGGAACTTGGACCAATGTAATTAGGAAACAACTAAGCAAAGTAATTGGTATGCTGCTTATAGTTCTTGTGGAAAATCATTTGTTAACTTTAAGAGTTGGAATTTACATTCTGAAAAATACATTGTCTGAGAGTGGGTCTAAATGAAATCCACGTATGCTTAGAAAATTCAACTACATTATCTTTTGGACAACAGTAGTGACTGAAATAAGTCAAAGAAGTCTGTATAAAAATTATTTCAATTGACAATAGAAGTATAATTCCTAACTAATAAAATAGTATCTGTTTATCAATATTAGTCCAGATTGAGATTAGCTTTATTGTATACATATCAGGAATGCAGAATTGGAATGCTATTTTTATATATTCATTAGAGAATATAAAGATATCATAAACATAAAACATATCACTCCAGAAAAGAGATGTAAAAAGATATGAGAGAAGAAGGAAGGTATTTTCCCTTCTCTATCTTTTGAAAAGAGAAAGAAAGAAGAGGGGAAGAAAAACCACCCATTTGGCAGCCTTGTGTAAAATGAGATTTTCATAGGGAAGAGGAAAGGAAAAGAAAGGGATTAAGTGAGATAAGACTTCACTGTTTATTAAGTATTTTGGCATCGTTGTAGGAAGTGTTTAAGAAAAATGCCTTATATTATTAATATTTTTCATATTGCATCTGCATTTCAGATGACTTGATAGAGATTAATAGAAATATTAAAAAGATGGGGAGAGGAGATAATCTTGTTGCTCAGAAAATCTTAATAATAGCTAGCATTATATAATATTTTAAGATTTGCAAAGTTCTTTTACAGATATTATCCTCCTTTATCTTTACAACAATCCTGGGAGGTAGGGCCTGTTATTATTCCCTTTTTACAGAGAAACTGAGACAGAGGACAAGTGACTTGCCCAGGGTCACACAGCTATTACAGATCTAAAGTGGGATTTTAATTCAGATCTTCCTGACTCCCAAGTCCACTAGCTCTATCCACTGTACCACCTAGCTGTGCAAATAATTAATGTAATAGATTAGTGGTGTAAAACTCAAATGAAAATGGATCTGTGCAGGCCTATTGAGTTAGAAAGCCACAAATTACCATTATCTGTGTTGAATTATATTTTTATTCATTTTGTTAAACATTCCCCAATTCAGTTTCTCTGTGTCATGTATGTGTGTGTGTGTATATATGTGTATATATACACATATAGTTTTTAAACATAAAATATTTACTTAATGATAAGGCAAAAGCAAGAATAATTATGATAGTTATTCAGTATAAGGCAAATGCAATAATAATCAAAATCTCATTGTCCTGGGTTACATTCTCCCACCAGCATATCATGTGAAAGAGTAGGCACCTGCTTACAAAAACCTACGAGGAAATGCTATGAGTAAAGAAAATCCATATGCCCAAATAGCCATTTATGACTCTGAACTGCAGGATCTAATTTCCTTGGTCCTTTCAGGAATAGTCTGTACCTCATAAACCTGTTTTCTGCTAGATACTCACCTTCTGCTCCACACCACTCTTGTACTAGGCATATCTGCTTCACTTCTGCTCTTGAACTTATGAAAGTGTTACAGGTTCTTTTAATTCACAGTTGCCCTTTAGAGGGCATTGAGAAAATATTTTTCCTTTCTTGTCTTTAATTTAAAATTTTTACTCTAAATTTAACAAACACTAAATAAAATGAGCATTTCCGTGTACAAACTAAGATAGATTGCATAGGCAACTCTGAATCTGTGTGATGTACAACTTCCTTTTCCTTTTAAGTATGTAACTTAAACATGTAACTTTAAAAGTTGTCCTGTTTGTGTTTTCTTGTGAATTTAAAAAATACTTCAGTCACCCTCTTTTCATTTTCATTAAACAACCCTATTGCTAGTTCTCTCTCCCATCTCATCTCCCCTCCAAAAATATTTTTAACAAAGAAAAATAAAATATTTTATGCATAGTAATGAATACTAATAAATAAATTTGTAATTATGCATAGTGAAGCAAAATAAATTCTACCATTGACTATATTTGAAAAGTGTCATTGGATGCACCTTGCATGCGTCACCTCTCTGTCAGAAGGTAGGCGACATGCTTCTTCATCAGTCGTTTAGACTCTTGCAAACAATCAGAATTTTAAAATCATTTAGCATTATTTGTGCAACATCGTTCTCTTGACTTTGCTCACTTTGCTCTGCTCCAGTTCATACAAGTATTTTCAAGTTTCTCAGAAATGATTCCTGTCATCATTTCTCATAAAGCAACAATATTCATAAACCACAAACCATTCATGAACTATTTGTTCAGCCATCCTCCAATTGATAGATATCCCCTTTGTTTCCAGTTCTTTGCTATAACAAAAAAGAACTGGTATAAATATTTTTGTACATACTAGTCTTTTTCCCCTTTCTTTGATCTTTTCAGACCTGGAAGTAATAATTCCTGGGTCAAAATTGAGTGATTTGGTGTGTGTGTGGTGGGGGGGGGGAATCCAAATTGCTTTCTAGAATGCTTGTATCAATTCACAGCTCCACCAGCATTACTTGTATTTGTCATTTCCCTTTTTGTCAATATGACAGTGGAACCTCAGAATTGGTTTAATTTGTATTTCTGTTATTATTGGTGATTTGGAGCATTTTTTTCCATGTCCCAGTTATATATTAATCTGGTTCAGGCAACCCTGGCTAAGGAGTTCATTATCTCTGCAATAGATCATTGATAAAAATCTGTTCAGAAAGCTCAAACTGTAAATTCTCTTAAATTGCTTTTTTGTTTGGCCATATTGTATATAAGTATGTTATTTCTGACCCAAACAAGTGAATTTTCCCTGGAAAGGAGGCTAATTCAATTTTTAAAAAATACAGTTTACTTAAATTTTTAGAAAGCTAAAGCATTTGATTTATAATAAGGAACATCCAGGTAAATCTTTACTAACTATTTCCAGGAAAGCTTTGGTAAAATTGTTGCAGATAAAAGGGGCAGCTAGATGGACAGTAGATAGTGCCAGGCCTGGAGTTAGGAAGATTCATCTTCCTGAGAATTTAGATTTGACCTCTGACACTTACTAGCTTTGTGACCCTGGGCAAGGCACTTAACCCTTTTTGCCTCATTTTCCTCATCTGTAAAATGAACTGGAGAAGGAAATAGCAAACCACTCTAGTGTCTTTGCCAAGAAAACCCCAAATGGGGTCACAGAGAGTCAGGACAACTGAAATGACTGAACATTGCTGATAAAATAAAACTCAACTAATTTTGGGAGCAAAGTATACCATCCTGGGTCCACTCAAAAAAATTCAGTATTGCATATAATGTGTGCCATTATAATTAAATGTAAGTATATTTAAACATAGTATTGAACCATATATAATTTTTTACCTTCCAGGGACCTGAGAGATTGTCTAGTCTGTTTTTCTACTGGAAGCTGCTTCCTCTCTGTAGAGTCTCTCCCAGGTGATTGAGTTCCTGCTTGCTTGTGTACTTTTGGCAATGGGCCAGATAGTGATGTTGAGGAGGAAGGCAGCCCTCTTGTAAATGCCATCTGGTGGTGGTACTTATTCCTCTATCAAGAATTTCTTTATAGAATTTCACAATGAAAGAGACCATCACAGTGATTCCATCTGACCTTCTTCACTTTACAGAGCTGGAGATTGAACCCCCGAGAAGTGATATGACTCACCAGTGATCATACAGGCAGTAGATACAGGCCTGGGATTCAGAACTGGTACCTCAGCCCCAAACCAGTGGTTCCTCTGTCTCACTCTCTTTTTCATGACAACCTTTCACGTCTGAAAGGCTGCCATAGTGCCTTTCCTAAAATCATGCATTAGCTCTGACAAATCAACATTAACAGCAGTTTCTTCATCTGTAAAGTAGGGCTGATGATATCTGTACCTTCTAGGATTATCTTAGGGATCAAGTGAAATAATGTATAGTTTTGCATACTTGGAAATTATGTAAATGATATAATATTTGTAAAGTGTTTAGTGTAGTGCCTGACACAGAGTAGGCACTTAATAAATGCTTGTTTTCTTCCTTCCTTTTTTTAGGAGGCAACTAGGTAGTGTAGTGTATAGAGCATTAGACCTAGAGTCAGGAAGACCTGAGTTCAGATTTGGCATCAGATAGTTACTGGCTGTGTGACTGTGAACAAGTCACTTAACCTCTGTCTGCCTCATTTTCTCAACTATAAAATGGGGTTAATAATAGTACCTAGCTCCCAAGATTGTGAGGATCAAATGAAATAATATTTATTGCAGATTATACAAATGAGATAATATTTGTAAAGATCTTAGCATGGTGCCTGGCTCATAGTAGGCTCTATATAAATGCTAATTCCTTTCCCCAAAAAAGGCAGCTGTGTTGGTCTGTGATTTCTATCTCTGCTAATTCTGAGATTCTATAATTTCTTTCCTCCTTACCTCTAATCTAGGCTGATCTGGTAAGTATTAGTAATTAGCATGAATTTGTGTCACTTAGGTATCCAACCTGGATTCCTTGATTGAACACCCACAAGAAGTATTCCCAAACATTTCATTTACTGTTTCCCAGTCCCTTTACTGTAGGTAAGCCAACAGGATTGTCTCATTTCCGTGTTGATGTTTATTACAAGTGTGAAGTGAAATTGAGAGCTCTGACAGAAACTAAATTCAGTTCAGCAACCTTTGTTATGTCTGCTATCTACAAAAGATTGTGTGCTAGGCCCTGGGAGTACAAAGGTGTAAAATAACTGTCCTTTTCCTCTAAGAGCTCACCTTCTAAGAGGGACAAATGGATGAGTGAAAAGGCGTTTATTAAATGCTTGCTATTTGCCAGATGCTAAACTAAGCTAGGAATATAAATAGAAAAGTAGAAAATTCTCTGCCCTCCAGCTGCTTGCATCTAAGGTGGGGTAGGGGTGGAGACAGCACTTATAGGTAAAGTAGTACCCAGAGTGTTTTGGTGAGTGGAACAATGGGGCATTTATTGTTTTGATTAGTGTTGGTAGAAAGTAGTGTGAGTCTGAAAATAACTGAGGTAAAAGCATGGATCTGGGATCGGCTAAATTTTAGGATCTCTTAATCAGGACAGCCTGATATAGGATTTCTTAGTCCAGGTCAGGAGGGCCAAAACCCCTCTTAGCCTTGATCAGGCAGAAGATGATCGAAGTAGAGGAAAGATCAGACAGAGAGCTCTGAGAAGATTTGAGGAGTGAGAAATCTCTCTTTTAGCTGAGGTGAGGACCCTTGGTGAAGGTGGCACTTGGGCCAAACCTGAAATGAAAAGTGGGGTTTCAATAAGTAGAGATGAAGAAAAAGGGATGTATTTTAAGTATGAACAGAGGCAGAAGAGTTCAGGATGAGATTGAGAAACAACTAATAGTCTACTTTGGCAGGAAGTATGTAACAAAGGAAGAATATAAAATAATGCTGGAAAAGATAATTTAAGCCTAAGGAAAGCCTTAAAGATAATTTAAAGCTAAGAAGACCCTTAAATTGCAGGCTAAGTCAAAGAATAGGAGGCTAATGGGTGATTTGATTACCACTATCTTCAAGCATAATAAGAATTTTGTTTTTGGAAAAAGTGCTGACAAGTTGGCTTGTGAACCAGCACTGAAGCAGTGAACTTAAAACTCTAGAGAGCTGCTGTCAGCAGGCATTTATATTGAGCATGGCTCAATAGGTGCTGAGGAAGGTTTACAGGTGAGAAAAGACAAGACTTGCCCTTAATGAGTTTACAGTTTACTAGAGGAAGTTAAGATCTAAATGAATATGATACAAATTAGAATAAATTGTATATGTTGTCAGGAAAAAACTTAAGTGAGATAATATTTATAAAATTCTTTGGAAACTTTAAAGCACTATGCAGGTACTAGTTAGTATCACTATTATTATTATGCCAGGGTAACAAAGCACTGAAAGGGATACCTTTGGAGATAATTTCAAAATTATTTACCTTTAGTTATTTATTACTTTGCTTACTTTAAGGCAGAGGAGAGGACTGCCTTTTCCATGGTGCTAATTTAACTTTTTTTTTCTATTAGAATTGGACATTAAAGAAAACAATACTCCAGAATCTTTTTTTCCCTTAGGGTCATAGTTTATGAACGTTATAGTACCCATTGTCAAAAGCTCCTTTGGATGCCATGGACCCTGAATTTTAGGATACAGTGTGTTCGGTATTTGAACACTGACATTTACATGATTTGTTGCTAAGGTAATGCTGTTGGTAAATTTTTAATTCTAAGAAAAACCACATCTGGAAATGTGCCAAATTCTCACAAAGGGGACATATAGCGTGCTGCTTAGTAGACATTTTGAGGAACAAAAGTTATGCATTGCCTCTTTCAGTGTTGACTTCTTTATGCCACCTTCAGAATCATTTTCAAAACTGTATAATTTTTCTGTAAAACTTAATTTAAAGGAAATCATTTAACATTTAACACTGATTTTATCATTCATATTTTAGACATGGAAAGCAAATAAGTGTTTTATTGAAGGCTATCACTGCCAAGTGCTGTGGAAGATACAAGAGAAGTATCAACTAAAATCCCTTTTAGTGAGTCTGGTTAGAGAGACAAAATTTGAGTTTAGGGAATAATTAGAGAACAGTCAAGTACAAAATGATATATAGTCTATACTGTATGTGTTCTGAAAATGTGGAAATAAATGAATCCTGGAGTAGAGGGACAAAGTTTCAGGTATTTTAAGCAAGGGAAAAAATACAAACCCCACAAATTCACATTTATACAGAACTGAGTTTTCCAAGTGTCTGTCTCATAGTGACTCTGAATTACTTCATTGCAAAAATTATCTTTACATATGAAACTGAAGCTCAGACAAGTTGAGTAATTTGCCCACAGTCACACAAGTGGTGGGGCCAGGGTTCAGTGAAACCTAGGTCTCCAGACTCCAAGTCTGGTATTTTTTCCACTACACCATGCTGCTTTTCAAATAACAATTATTTATATAATGGAATAGATTTATAAAGCTCTTTCCTCACAAAAACCACGAGAGATATAGGTAGTACAAATCTTTTTAGTTTCATTTAACAGATGAGAAAACTGAGAGTTCAGAAAGCTTATGATTGCTTTTGGTCACAATAGCTAGTAAATGTATGAGGTAAAACATGAATTCAGATTTGACTTCAGGCTCAGTGTTTTTTTACATGACACTATGCTGAGCATGCCATATAGAGGGACATTAAAAAGACCACCCTTCCTGGAATGAAGAGTTTGTGTTGAAGAGTGAGAAATAAGGGTGAGCAGATAAGAATAGGTCCGGTTTTAAGAGTTTTGAAAGCCAAGTAGGGCTTCTTAATCTCGAGTCAGCAAATTTCAGAGGGTCTGTAAACTTGGATGGGAAAAAACAACCTCTTTTTTCCCACTAATCTATAACAGAAACATAACAAATCCTTCATTTATTTAAAAATATTATCCTAAGCAGTCTCTACGCTTCACCAGTCTACAAAAGGAATCCATGACAAAACAGATTTAAGACCCTTGATTTTAATTCTTAAGGAGAGAGAACAGATTTCTGAGAAGAGTGGCAGAATGAAAATTGTATTTGAGAGAGATTTGGAGCAAATTCTGAAATTTCCATTCTAGTTACTTTGACAAAATTAAATGCAATGGGAGAGCTTTTTGGAAACATTATGAAATTTATGTATACATCCTTATCTATGTTTGGATACTTTTTAGAAAAGATGATTCAAGACCATTTTGACACAACATAGAAAAATCTTCTCTGAAAAGTTAAATCACCTCATGAACTTTGGAGTTTTGTAAGTATTAGACCTCTGACCTGACTTTTTTTTTTCAGGCTCCTGTTCATGTTCAGTAGGCAATGGTGAATTGTGCCATTCTGCAGTCGACCCAATAGCAAATACCAGTCTGGGTGAAACTCTAACTCCTTCCTTGGGGACAGGTAAATTAGGCTAAGGATTTTCAAAGGAGATAGTTTCACATTGTTATGATTTAAAGTAACTATATAAAATTTCTGTTGGTGTTAGCAAAAGTAAGTTTCCAGTAGGGACAGCTAGGTGGCACAGTAGATAGAGCACCGGACCTGGAGTCAGGAGGACTTCAGTTCAAATCCAGCCTTAGACACATATCACTCACATATATTTTTATAGCAGCTCTCTTTGTGGTGGCAAAGAACTGGAAATTGCAGGGATGCCCATCAGTTGGGGAATGGCTAAACAAATTGTGTTGTATGTGTTTGTCATAGAATACTACTTTGCTGTAAGAAATGATGAGCCCAGTGATTGTAGAAAAACATGGCAAAATTTGCATGAAATAATGAAGAGTGAAATGAGCAGAACCAAGAAAACATTGTATACAGTAACAGCAATATTGTTTTAAGAACAACCTTGACAGACCAAGGCATTCTGAATATTATAAATAGCCAAATTAATTACAAAGGTCCTATGAAGAAAGATTCTATGTACATCCAGAGAAAGAACTGCCATATACTAACTTTGTTGTATATTTAAAAGGAATAGCAAGTTGTACCTAATAGATCTGCAGTTTCAGGTTTAATCCTTTTTTTTTGCCTATTCTTCTTTGTTACGGAAATACTTGTTTTATTTCTTAAGTTCAGAAATTTTTTAAAAATAAAAAACAAAAATAAATCTGGCCTCATACACTATGTGACCCTGGGCAAATCACATAACCCTGTTTGCCTCAGTTTCCTCATCTGTAATGAGCTTGAGAAATAAATGGCAAATCACTCCAGTATCTTTGCCAAGAAAACCCCAAAATAGGTCATGGAGAGTCAGACATGACTAAAACAAATAAACAACAGCTTCCTGACCCCAAAGCTGGCTTTCTATCCACTATACTACAATGGAACTTGTACGGAATTTTTATAAGATCATTAATCATTCATTTTGTATATTTTTTTTCTTAAAAAGATAAGTTGTTAATGGCTTTTTTTAACATCACCATGTGCTCAGTATCCCTCCCTCTCAACTCTAAGAGCCATCACTTCACTTAAACAAATAATGTTTTTTAAAAGGCAAAAGAGAGGAGGGAAAAAACCAGCATAACAGATCAATACATCAAAAAAATCTGAAAATATGTGCAACATACAATAATTGCAGACCTCCTGCCCCGCCAAGGGATGGTATCTTCTCATATCTCTTCTTTTAAGCTATGTTTGTTCTTTATAATTTTATAATATTAACTTTTGATTTTTTTTTTGAGGTAGTTGTCTCTATTTTTATCACTGTAGTCATTGGGTATATTGTTTTCTTGACTCTGCTTACTTCATTTTGCATCACTTCGTATGTTTCAAGTCACATTCATCATTTCTTACAGCACAGTAATATTCCATTACATTAAAGTACCACAGCTTTGAAAATAAATAAAAATGTGGTCAAAAGATAATGAATGAACAATTCTCAAAAAAAAAAAAAAAAGAATTGAAAACTATCCCCTAAAAGCCTTTCCCCAATCAGTGGGCATCTACTTTGTTTCCAATTCTTTGTTGCCACAAAAAAGAAGTATTATTACAAATATTTTGGTGTACATGGGAACTTTTCTCTTTTTAATGACCTCTCCTTGGAGTTTAAGCCCAGTGATGGAATCTTTGGGTCAAAGAGTATAGACATTTTAGCACTTTATTTACATAATTTCAAAATGTTTTCCAAAATGGTTATACTGATTCATAGCTCCACCAACAATGTACTAATGTGCCTATCTTTCCACAACCCTTCCAACACTAACTGTTCCCAACTTTTGTCATCTTTGCTTATTTGTAGGGAATGAGATAAAACCTTAACGGTTTTGATTTGTATATCTCTTGTTAATAATTTGGAGCATCTGTTCATATGATTATTAATAACTTTAATATTTCTTTTTGAGAACTGTTAGTTCATATCTTTAGACTGAATTTTTATTTTCAAAATTGTTCCTATTAGAATAATCCTAGTACTAAGTACAGTTTTGATTTGTGTATTGGAAAAGAAGGGCTTATTTTTTAGCCATCTAGATTTAAAGCTGGAAGGGACTTTAGAGGTCATAACATCCAGTTCCGTCATTTTACTGATATGGGAAATAAGGCCCAGTGAAGTTAACTCTCTTGCCCAGGACTACACAACTATTGTCTGACACAGGATTTGAACCTAGGTCTACATGATTCCGAGTCTATCTACTATATCATGCTACCTCAGAAGACTAATTACTATTTATTTTCATGCTTAATGACCTATTTCCCTCTTCCTATCTCTTTCCCTCCCCCCAAAAAAATACAAAATGTGGACCTTAATAACCTGCTAAATTGCCTTGAATTCATTAGTTAATTTTTTAAATATCTGTCATATAACAAGTATTGCACAGAAGAAATATTCTCTTTCTTTTCACTTCAAACTAAAAACCAAGGCATTTTTGTCCGAAGGACCATTTTTTAAAATTGTTTTGACTTAGAAGGTAAATGGAAGCTATTTTGCAGATTTTTATTATATACATGTCTTTTTAAAAAATATTTTTTCCATACAAGCTGAGTATTGTTAAAAGGACTGACTTTTTTGCCTTAGAGATTAAAATTCAGCCATGTATTTATCTCGCATCCCTATTTCAGATTATTTAAAGCCATTGAATTGTTATGTATATGTGTTTTGAGTAGGTTTTCTGCTCCATATGCTGACTTAACATGATTTGGGCAAAGGAACCAAAAAAAATGTTCTATATACATGAAACAGATGTACAATTGTAAAAAAAAAATTTACATGTAAAATATTCCATATGTTCTCATGCTGAGGTATTTTTTCCTGTCTTTTCTGCTGCCACCTGCTGGTGTAGACTGAAAATTTAATACTAGTCATCTTTCCAAAGGGCTAACCTTACACATATACATACATGTGCGCGTGCACAGGCACACACCACTCTCTCTTTTAAGGCTTGGGGTTATATTCATTAACTTTTTATGCCAAGGACCTCATGCATCTGTCTAAACAAGGGACCAACCTTTTCTTCAGCTATTCTCTTTTTTACAATCCCTAAAGCAGTTTAACTTGGCATTCTTCCACACAAACGGGTCCTTTGTGCGTATGAGGTAGATAACATCCTCAGAACGTCATCTCAGTTTCCTGCTTGCCTGTTCTTTGCCTCCAGGGCCTGGTCTTTAATAATTTCTCCTTCACTGGTAACCTCCTCCCAGAGTCCTGGTGATCTACACAGTTGTTATGTAGAAAACTCTTTGCAACTTTTACAGCATTACATAAGCATGAACTGCTGTTTTTGTTGTATTCAATACTGACTTCAAACCTATGGGGTTTTGTCAGTGTGGTTGCTTCCATTTTAAGGATAGATCCTAGCTCCCTTAGGCTGTAGTACATGGTTACCACAGGTTGCTGTATCAGAAAATTCATCCACTAGTGGTCATCTCTCTCCAGAATCTTTTATCAGATATCATTGCTCTCACCATGTGAGGACTGATCTTTAATGTCATACTGTGTTAGTATAAAAATCTGTTTTGTGAAAGTTTCTTCCTTTAACTGCCATAGAGTAGCAAATTAGACAGCAAAAGCTGGTGATTTACTAGTGAGGGTAAGCTGTAGTGAACCTAAGCTAAAAGAAATGTGGTTGTCATCATTTTTTCATATAGTGCCTCAATTCTTTAAAAATCTTTAATGCAGTTTGTCAGTTGAATTTTGATTGAATAAAAATTTTAAAGCACTCAATATATACACTATTAATTATTGTAATTTATATTAATTTTATAGCAGCCAGACTGAGAAGTATGAAGCCTTTCTCAAGAGGCCATACAACATGTGTGTGTGTGTGTGTGTGTATATATGTGTGTGTGTAAAACATTACATTAATTAAGAGTGAAATATAGGAATTCTCAATTTGAGGTCTACCTTTTTTTTGATTATCTTAGAATTATACTGTTAAGTAGTAGTATAAGTAATGCAAGTACTTTATAACTTTTCAGATGTAATTTCTTGGGAGGAAGTAAGGAATCTGTTCTTGCTTTGCAGTGTGAAGGAAAGACTCTTCTACAGAGCTCTTATAATATAACCCATTATGGCTCTGGGTTGTAATTGTATGTGTGACAGTTTGCTTAGCCATTAAACAAATTTAAATCCCTTTAAAAAGCTCTGATTACAAATTATTCTTAATGTTTTCTAGGTGAGCATTGTGTGAGTCAGTGTAATTCTCAGAGCTGCATATTAGCTCAGGAAGAACAACTTCTACAGATTGGAGACAAACAACTGGCTAGACATGTGTTGCTGTGTTTACTACTTATTGTCGGCTTACTTGCTGTAAATATTTCTTTTACTTTTATTTGAGGTCCTTTCCCTTAAGTGCTTTGTAAAAATTGCATTTGGCCAACTAAGAAAGCTTAGTTACTTCTACAAATGGTAGTAGGCCATATAGAATCTTAAATCTCTAATCTTCTTTAAAAGGGGGAAAAAATTAGTATCTCATTTTACAGTTACTGTCCTATTTCTGAAAAAAAAAATTTTGTATCCTGCCTGGATAATATTTTTCCATTTACCTTGAACCTAGAATTTGAAAAAAATCTGAGTTTTTCTATTAATCACTCTTTGTCATAGGTAAAAATTAACTATTTTTAAGAGCTACTAATTTCTAATCGTTAGCTGACCTTAATGGACAGACTCTACTACTCCTTTTCAAGAGCTCTTTCCAACATAGCTACTTTTCTGAGATACAGATGTGGCGATGAATAAAATGAACATAGAGGAATCTTTCTAATACTTCTGAGCCTCACTTTTTGTAGAATGGTAGCAACTGCTACAGATTTGATAATCTGATTTTTGCATCATGAAGTGCTAATTTTAAAAATCTGCCCTATTTTACACCAGGCAGCAGTACTGACGTCTTATGAATTAATTAGAATAATTATTAGAATTATTAGAATAGACATCTATATAAATGACATCTCTCAGAAGGATATGTCAGCCTCTTTCTAGAAAGACAAAGTTTATGTATTCTCATAGTGGTTTGCCCTTTAGTTTTCCTTTTCAGGCATTAAATAGTTTTAGATTTAAAGCATTTGTTTAATTGTAACTGTATTCTGATAGGTAAAATGAATAGCTTTCTTTATTTGAAAATATTTTTTATTATTTCTTTGTAGAATCTTTCCAGTTGTTTGTGGTGGCTATTCAACCAAGAACCTGGAAGACTGTATGTTGAATTACAGTTTTTTTGTGCTGTATTCAATTTTGGACAGGTATTTACTAGGAATTTCAAAGGAACCTTTATGTGTATGTAGGTATGCACACACATGTGTGTGCCTGCGTGTGTGTGTGTGTGTGTGTGTGTTCTGTTTGATCAGCTGTGTTATGTGTCAATGAGAGATATGCCTGTCTGTGAATAGAAAAATGTATTATTATTTTAACCGAAGTTACCAGGTTGTGTTCTGAATATTTCAACCAGATATATTGAATTCATCTTCTTTTTTCATTTTGAAAGCAAGAATGGTCATGGAAACAGAGGCACAGAACCTCATGATCTATTTGAACTTTATCATAATTAGGTTAGCTTTGGCAAATAAAAGGTCTTTTATAGCTACACATAAAATAAAGAAAATTATTTAATAGTATCCTTAATAATTCCTGAGCAGAAAAGTTCTAAATACATAATTAGGCTTTAACAGCTTAAAATCACACCAAGACTTGGGGAGACCCTGTATATAGTATATATTTGTCAAATGTTACTTTAAAATTTATTGACAGTTTAATATATCTCCAGTATTTCAGGGAGACATGATTTTATTGATGTGGGTACTCCCTTCTTAAGTACACATTCCAGGTCCTTTCTGTGCTTTAGCAAACAATTTCCATAAATTGTTATGTTAGAAAAATTAATCATCTTTGGGCAGCTTGGTCATGAGCCTCTTTGAACTTAGCCAGGCTTGTCTTTATTTAACAAACATGAAGTCCATCACTGTACTCATACTTGAAGTTTAGGTAAACCTACAAGAGCATGTATGCCATTATTACAGCCTAACAAAATAGAATTTTAATCAATAAGCATTTATTAGTGGAGCAATTAACATATACTCTGATTTAATACTTTTAGATATCATGTTCTTTTTTATTTATTTGATTTGACATTATATGCAACCTGTAGACATTAGGAAAACCCGTTTTGGAACTCATCTCATATTTCATGAAAAGTTTGAGAGGGAAGCTCTACATTCAGGCTAATGCTTTGAAGGAGGAACCTAATAAGAGTGAGGTTCAAGGGAAAGTTGAACTTAGTCAACAAGCATTTATTATGCTCCTAATGTGTGCCAGGCACTGAGAATACAAAGACAAAGTGAAACAACACCCTCCCAAGGATCTTATATTCTACCAGGGGAAAGAAGAGGGGAAAACATTTTTAGATAGATATGTATGAGGTATGTATGCATGTGTGTGTGTATGTGAATATATATATATATATTATATATATATTATATATATTATATATATATTATATATACGTAATACATAAATATATGTACATGTACTATATAAATGTATATGTAATATATACTTATATGTATACACACACACACACACATACACACTTATTTTACAAAGTAAGTATAGGGTAAAAAGAAGCTAGGGGATGCCTTCCAGATAACTGTGCATGAAGAACAACAAGAAGACCAGTTTGGCTGGACTGTAGAATTAGTGAAGGTGAGTAATATTTCATAAACATGCAAAAAGATAGGTTGGATAAGTCAGAGATTCATGTTATTACTTTACTGTTTTATTTGAGACCATTTTAAGATGTAATTAGGATAGTGATATACTTTAGGGCTCAATATAAATTATTTTTTTGCTTTCCTTTTGTTTTGGATTATCTTATTTCCACTGTCCATTAGTCTGAATAAGCCAGAGTTATCTGTAAAACAATTTCTACCCCACATAAAGTTTATGTAACTCATAGTTTGCACTACATGGAAATGTTTCATATGTTTTAGTTGTTGCTAGCACCATTTTCTATGTAGTGGCTTTTATACCAGCATGCAGATAATTCTGAAAATGTGTTGTGAAAGCATATATTATTTAGGGGAAACATGAATTCCTGGATAAATGCACAACATTACATAATAGAGGTGCAAGGTAGGGATCAGGTCCATGAAAAAGTAAAAATTTACAGCGTCCAAAAGTCAGACATTGATTTGAAACAATTACTTCTACTACATGTTTTCCCTCCCAGTAGCGAAGGGCTCTAAGGTTGAGGTAGAAACTACTAAATATCTTCCCAGTCCTATCTGACTCAGCTTGTTCACCAGTCTCTGCTCCCCACTACAGAGAAGAGTAACAAGAATACTACATAGAGAACAAGTCTCTTCCTTTCCTCAACCTCTGGTTTCTTCTAGAGGAATGACACAAAGACTGTTAGCCAAATTGGCAAGACCAGGTACCTAGAACAAGCAAGCAGCAAAATGTTCTTGTTTGAGGGCCTAGAACTTTAAAAACTGCCTTTTTGCTTACTTTTTAAGTGTTGTTTTTTGATTACTGGAGTGAATGTCAGTGGCTTCCTTAACTTTTTTTTTTTTGCTTGAAATTTTATTTCTAGCTTCTAAGTATGTAACATATGTCTATATGTTTCCCCCACACACAGGGTTTTATTTCCTTTGGAATCTTTGGGTTAGACAAACATTTTATCATTCTGCCCTTCAAAAGAAGGTAAACTCAATTTTTAAGTATGTATTTTAATAAAGTCAATAGTAAAGATATTCCCTTAAGATACCGTTTTTAGGCCCGTAATACCTACTGGCAGAAACTGATTATCATGGTAACAATATCATCTGCTGCTTCATATATTTGTAGTAAATAACCACAGATAAGGTACTGAAGGAACCATTGTAAATCCAGTATTATTTCCATTTTAAAAAGAACTATTGGATATTTTAAAAAAACTATTACTGAATTTAAAATGCAGTTTTAAAATATGCTTAAAGATATGTTCTTAAGATAGCAAAGAGGCTTTCTCATCTGTCATAGCTATTTCTATAGCATATCTCTTCCTCAGCAAGAGCAATTTAGATTCTTGCACATTTGACTTTTTTTTCCTCAAGAAAAAACTCATTCTGCTTTTCTAAATTTTGGATTCTACCATTTTCTACAAAGATTGCTAAAGCATCGACCTTTTAGTTATGGACACTTTTCTACAAATACTATAAGCACTGAGTTTAGATCATGTTTTTGTTTGGAAGTTAATAAATAGGAAAACTCCCATTATGGGGAATGGAGTGGCATTGGACATTATTAGGCGTATTAGTAAAAAGTAGAAATGTTAAGAGTTCCCCTTCCCAAGGCACTACATAATAAAGACGCTGGACATATTATAGATTTCACAAATGCTTAAGAGTGGCGACTTTAATCAGTCAGCAAGTAAGTGTTCATTCCTTGTCGGGCACTGTGCTAAGTGCTGAGGACACAAAGAAAGAAAATCGTGGTCTCTACCCTTGTGGAGCTCACATTGTAATGGGGGAGACAACATGCAGAAGAAATGTACATATAAGATATATAGATATAGATATATATCTATCTATATATAGATAGATATATATAGATATCTATCTATCTATCTATCTATCTATCTATATATATATATATATATATCATAAGTCGAGGGTAATCTAATCTCACAGAGAGGGCATAAGGAGTGGGAAGGGAGGCTCCTTGCAGATGGTGAGATTGGAGCCAAGTAATATAGGAAGCCAGAAAAGCCATGATCAGGTTTTAAGATCTAGCATTAGGTTCTGAGTCCCCATTTAGTCTTTTTTTCCCCTCAATTACATGCAAACAAAATTTTTCAGCATTAATTTTTTTTTAGATTTTGAGTCCCAGATTCTCTTCCTCCTTCCCTTCCTCCCCCCATCCTTGAGAGGGCAAGCTGGCATGACCTGCACCGCATGGTCTATGCTACCTTCCAGGCCCAACCACTACTGCAGTGGGACAGACTTTCCTGCTGACCTCCCAAATTCTCTTGGGCCGCAAAATTGTTTTATCCAGCTTTCTGTTGGTTCTGCCACTCCAGAATTTGGTTTGAGGTGTTATTTTAGACTTGTTCGGAGGGGAGTTTGGAAGAGCTCAGCTGAGTTCTTCTTTGTTCTACCATCTTGCCTCTTCCTGCAGTGAGATCTCCACTTAGTCTTAACTAAAGAACAGTCAGAGTGGTCCTATGATGTAGAAATGGAATAATAAACTAATCATTGAACTTTAGTCATTAACAAGAGATTTAGTTCTCTGTTCATTATCAATCAGATTAAAGAATAAATAGACCACAAGTCTGGAATGACTTGCACACAGTAGTTCTACATTCGAGATACACAGGAAATCTGCCATTGTGTAAAAATGCTGAAGTAAAGTCTTTGTTCTCTGTAAAGACTATTTTTAAAATATCCTAAGGAGAATGGAATTTGACAAATCACAAATATGCCAAATTTGTCTTATGAATTTAAGGAATAAAATGTCAGTGTTGTCAGATTTATCATTGCTTCTGTCTTAAGAATGACATGGATATGCCAGGTGGGTGACAACTGCTATTGAACAAGCATGTTTTAATGGGAGAATAGGTCCCATGTTTGTGTTTTCTGTCTTTCATTACACATAGCCTCTTCTTCAATTTTGATTTTCAGATTTGAATTCCTGTGGAATAATAAAGAAACAGCAGAAAATGGATCATCACCTGTTCCTGAGGAGATCAGAATGACCTGTCAACAGTTTGTTCATTATCATCGTGATCTCTGTGTCCGAAGCATCGTCAAGGAAAGAAGGTGGGCAAATGCCTATACAGAGATCCCTGTTAACTAAAATATTAAATGTTGGACACACCTTTCGGATTAAATAATATCATTGACTTGTGCATGTTAACTAAAAATGTCATGGGCCAGTACATGTGAGAGATGGATTATCCCTTAAACAAAACCTCTATAACATACCTAGACCGTCTTTATTTAGATAGTTTTGAAAACCTGCTGACTTTAGTGTCTCACATTAAGTATAGAAACATGATCTGAGAACCAAGACATGAGGATATTAGAATTGAGGGACATTAGTTATTATTGCTTCTCAGAAAAGTTTAAAGACTTTGAATTTAGAAACAATTTTTTTTCATATTCTCCTGTTGATGTGACTTTTTATTGAAAAATATTTTCAAAACTATGACAGTCCTGACACCAGCTACTCTATTTCTCACCTCAAGTCCTAGTCTTTAGTCTGTGGTATCTAAATAATATCCATGAAAACCAATTAATTGATCTTAGCCTCTGATATTGAAATATAAAGGATAAATATGTTGCCATGAACATTTTTTAAATTATGTAATGGGGAAAGTGAAAAAGCAGATAATCAAAGACCAGTATTAGAAACCACATGACAGTTTTCCTTTATGAGAGGTAGATATCTAGACTGGCAAAATCATTTAAAAATAACACTTATGAATAGTTTCCTTCAGCAATTCAAAAGGTTGAGAAAATTGGCTTTGTGAAATTTTTAGAAGAAAATTTCATTTGACACCTTTATACAAGTTCTGAAGTAGAAAGGGAACCATAGTGCTGTTGCTGCTTTTTAGGACTGTTGAGCTATATGGCTGTTGGGTGATGGTAAACCCTCTCTGCTCCACTATACCCTTTCCAGGGTACATACCTCATTATTTAATAGTGACCTTTGTCCAGTTGTAAGGGTACCTGAGATGTCATTGCACAGTCATCAGCAGACATATGTTTTATTGAATGAGTGTCAGGAATCATACTAGATTTTAATTGCCTATTTAAAATTGACAGTAAGAATGGATGTTCAACCACATATTGTTCAGGGCATTAGTCTCACATTTGAGCTGCCTGAAATTTTGTTTACAAATTAAGGTGTATTATATCTTATATGTACCTGAAATAACATTTTAGGTTAATTATGATATTACTTGAGAAAATGTTTAAATGCATATTAGTGTTTTGTGATTTTTGTATGACTTCTTAAATAGTCTACTCATGTAATTAAATGTATTCTTTTTCATTACCTGCTTTCCTCATCTCACCTTGATCTTTGATTGCTGCCTCCTTTTTTTGCTCTGTAACAGTTCTTTTGCTTGACTGATGCTTTTATTGAGTGTACTTCACGTCCATTACGTGCTTCTATTAAAATTTACAGGTTCATTTGGTTCTTTTCTTCTTGTTGCCATAAACTTTGTTTGCTGAGACATGAGGAACCATGCATTTGTATTAGGAATGCATTTGAAATAATCAAAGGTGTCATACCAAGTACATTTTTTTAATCTCATTGTTTTAGTAAGACAGGTTTTAAGAGTCTGATTAAATATATTACTTGAAAAGCAATTCTTGATTTACTATAATTTACAGTATTAATTAAAACATTTGGTATTTTTATAATTGGACAAATTTTATTAAACTTTATGTAGTATAGTAGTCTGTAACAAAGCTATTAGAAAAGTTGATGCTATTGTATAATGATTTAAACACACATTTGTAGTATGTCACTTTTGTGTATAGCTTTCCATGTATTAAGTTTTAACTATTTTCATGAACATAATTATCATATTTTTAAATGATTTTTACAGTTTAACAAACCATTAATATCCAAAATGGTTTCTTTTCCACCATACTTTTTTACATACCAACTATCATGCTGTCTTTGCTTGTTTTCCCATTTTTCCTTGCCTGTCCCCTGTTGTGCAGTGCTGATAGCAGATTTACAGAACATATGGGTGAATCATTCCTTTGACATACAGGTGTGGTGCAAAGACCTCTACTGGAACTTTCTGTGGCTGTGACCTGGTGAACTGGCTAATTGAAGTTGGCCTTGCCTCTGACCGTGGTGAAGCAGTGCTGTATGGAGACAGGCTGGTACAAGGAGGAGTTGTCCAGCACATTACCAATGAATATGAATTTCGGGATGAATATTTGTTTTACCGATTTCTTCAGGACAGTCCCACAGAAAGTCCTCTAGGCACTAATTCAGGTGCATCCTCACAGGAGAGACAGGTAGAAATTGAGCACTCATCCCCTACCTCACTTTCCCCCCAAAACTAAAATATGTGGACCTAAAACACAGAAGGAATCTTTATCAAACCGAAGAACAATTTCCCCCCTACAGTATCATTATTATTAGAGAGCTCCTGTTGAATATAATAATCATCAGTTTGGACAGAAATTGTTAATGATTGATTTGCATGTAATTATGTAATATAATTTTAATAACCAAATAAGCCACTACTCTAAATTGCTGAATTTTGCAGTTGGATATTGAGCAGTAAATGAATCTCATGATTATGTATACTTTGCACTTACCAACTGCACTTCATGGAGAGACTTTGAAAATCGTTTTATTAAGAGGACTTCCTAATTCTTCATTTCTCCACCACCACACAATTTCTTGACAAATGGTGCTTATTCAAACTGGCAACACAATGAATTTATCTTTTTAAAGTATGCTTATTCTTGCTTTTCCATCAGATGGTAGGGGATAATCTCCACAAATCCATAACAGAAGTTAAAATACAGTCTAGTCTCTAACTTTTGTTGTGCATGTTATGATTAGAATAGTTTAACTTACATCACACCAACAAAATTGCTATCATAATTGTTGACTGATGTATCTAACTTTGCACATCCCAGTTCAGAAAATTTTTGCACATCTCATGTGAACCACACTAAACCACTGTTTAGAGAAATTAAAAGAGGAAAGAAGTGGTTCATGTCAGCAATTATTTATCATGTGTCTCTTATGTGCCGTGCACATTGCCATGCACTGGGGATACAAAGATAAAAGTGAAAGCTTTTTACATAATGTCATACTATTTTTGAAGATAAATCTAATATGCTGCTATAAATTTTAGAATTTAATTTTTGGCATGCTGATTCCTAAGCATCTACAAATTTAAGTTATTCATGCTGTGTGCAGTTACAAAATATTATTCCTAGTTTGAAATTGGTGGAAAAAAGATGGAGAGAAAAAGGTGATCATGTTATCTTTGAGTTACTTGATGTTCAGTGTGCTTTATTTATTTCATAAGTTTTAACAGTCACTTTTTAAAAGTGTCTGGAATATGTTGTACCCAATTTGTCTTACTTTTTAAGCCCTGTTTACTAACAAACCCTTATGCTAAATACTTAGCCCCTCTGCTGATTTAACTTAAAATGTTTAGTTTCTTTATATTTAATTGCATCTAACTTTCATTTGAATGAGACAGTTCTATTTTCTGCTTGGATCCTTTTTTCTTTTTTAAGGTGAATAGGACTCATTTTACTATCTTTTAAAATCTGTATGTTTTAAAAAAAAATAGGAAAACCCTAGTGTATTTAAGAGTAAATCTAAACACTTTGCTGTGACATTTATTTTAATTATGTTTTGGGGGTAGTAGAGCAGTTTGTTTTGCCAATTAGATTCACCTTGGCAAGGAAACCTTAGTTTTTTACATTCTAATTGTGACTGTTCTAATGCTCTGAAGTTTGTCTTGATTTTAAGCTTAAATATAACTTATGCTAGGAAGAACTGATTTACAATTGCAGTATTTGAGATGCCAACTTACATGCTTAGTAAGCATCTCAAATTTAAGTTAAGAATCAATTGTTTTATCTCTGCACAAGTTACTGCATACATTTTCTTAAAGGGAAGCAGAAAACTGCATCTTTTAGCACAGAAAGTACTGACAGAAAACTGTTGATCATTAGGATCTGCAAGTTTGGTTAACAGAGTACTTTTGTTATGTTAAAATATTTTTAGAATTAAGGATATGCCAGTTTTATCAAATGAAAATATCTTTGTACCTGTGACCTCAATAATATAGCAAGTTTATCAATAAAATAGCTCTTTTAATTTGTGTTGCAGAAAATGTTTTTCTTATAATTTTTTGACTTATTTGAATAGTGCAAAAAATACATAAGAGGTCTTTTCTGTCATTCCTTAACACCAATCTTATTTTCATTCCTTCAAATTTTCCTTTTTTTAAAAAAAACAACAACAACAACAAAACTTCCTTTATTTATACATTAATGTTGAGGGCTGGACAAGAGTTTAAGGGGAAAAAAAGGGAAAGGAAAACAGTCTATGAAAGAGTCCTGTACAGAAAAAAGAAGAAGACAGGTTATGAGGAAGGGAAAAAGATAGACGCATACATATACACATACACACAAGATGAAGGAAGGTGGGCTGGGCAGCCAGGGTCAGGGCTCTTGGCTAGTCACCTGCTTCATGTAGGTTTCCAGCAGGTACTTTTTAAAGGCTGTGGGGTTTGTCCAAAGTTCAGCAGCATGTGTGTTCAATGGGCTGTCAATGTTGGGTTCTCCCAGCAGGCTCTGGATAGATAGCAGGATGGTCCTGACATCATACAGAGCTGACCACTTGTCCTTGAGGATGTCAAAACAGATATCGCCTTGGGTGTCCACATTAGGATGGTAACAAGGTGTGACAGATTTCACAGTGGGAGCATTATATGGGTAGCCACTGGGGAATTCCAAGGAGAGCTTGTACCTTAGGTCTTCATATACTGTCCCAGCTGCCCCATGGATGGTCCCAATCCACTTGAAGAGATTGTCTGACTCTGGGAAGGCAGAGATTCCTTTGTCTCCAGACATCATTAGGGTCATCAATTCCTGCTGTAACCTCTTGCCCACAGACCCGCGGGCAGCGCCCGCCCCAGCCTTGCCTTCCTCACGGGCAGCGGCAGCAGCACTGGCAGCGGCTGGGTCGCGGTTCTGCAAGGCCATGGGGGAACGGAGATAAAGGAAGAGAAACTCCCGGGCGGCAACTGCCAAATTCTCCTTTTCTTAAATAGTACTTTATTATTTCTGCAGTGTTATGTGCACTACAGGCACTGTATAAGTGCTGAATGAATGAATCTGGGAACCTATAATTTTCTCTCATCTGTGTCCCCTTTTCTTCACTCAAGCAGCCATCACCTGAGTTCAGGCCCTCATCACCTCTCACTTAGACTATTATAGTAGCCTCCTAATTGCTTTCTGCCTCAGGCCTCTTCCTGATCCAATCCATCCTCCAGAGAGCCTCCAAAATGGTGTCTGGAATCTCACCTCTGATTTGATGATCTGTGAGCATTTGTCTTGCATGATAGAAATGTAACTTTATGCTTTAGCATAAACAGAGAAAAAGATTTCTTTGGGGTATTTGTTTCAGCTTGTCCCACTGAAACATCTCAGTGTTAGTAGTACATGCCTGGAATGTTAATTAATGTAGCAGCCATTTAATTTGTCTACTTTCAAAACCAAGTTCTATATCAGAGTACTAGGTGGCACCATAGTGCACAGAGCACTAGGCATAGAGTGAGGAAAACCTGAGTTCAAATTCGTTCTCAGACACTAAGCTGTGTGACCTTGGACAAATCACTCAACCTCTGTTTACCTTAGTTTCCTCATCCACACCTACCTCCCAGGGTAAGATGAAGATCAAATAAAATAATATTTTTAAAGCACTTGCTATAGTGCCTGGCACATACTAGGTGCTACATAAATGCTAGCTATTATTATTATAATCAGAGGAATTCTGAAAAGTGATCTTAAAACCAGACTATTAATTATACATCAACTATCTCCAGAAATTTTAATCTAATTTTTTTAAAAGGTAAAATATTTTACTAAATAGACTTTTAACCAGGGACAATTTAGTTAACTCTTCCCTTCTGTATCCCCACCCCACTCCTTCTTATAGATGAGGAAACCAAAGCTATATAAAGAGTAAATGATTTGCCTAATATCACCTAATAGTTGGCATAACTAGTGTTAAAACCTGCATCTACCAGTCCAATGTTCTCTGCAATGCTCATGTTGCCAACAATTTATTCAAAAATCCTGCTTGTATTAGAACTTTTAAGAACTTGATAGAAATATAGAATACACTCTGTTTTATGTTCAGTATAGATTATGCTAGTAACTCAAACAGTAAAAAACAAATTAATAAAGACATAACCTTGCACAACTAAGACCAAAGAAAGAATTCTTTTTTTTGGGGGGGGGGGCCGCTAGGCAATGGGGTTAAGTGACTTGCCCAGGGTCACACAGCTAGTAAGTGTTATGTGTCTCAGGCCGGATTTGAACTCAGGTATTCCTGACTCCAGGGCCAGTGCTCCATCCGTTGCGCCACCTAGCTGCCCCCAAAGAAAGAATTCTTAACTAAATAATGTGTGGAGGTGATTAGAGAACATTAAAGCTGAAAAGCTTTTGCATGGAAAAAAAATCAGTGTAGTAGAATTAAAAGAAAGGAGTTAACTGGTAAAAAATCTTTACAGCAAATGCCTCTGATAAAAATTTGATATCCAAGATATGTAAGGAATACATACACACGAGCCTTGTCAAAGAATATGAGCAGTTTTGAAAAAAGAGGAAGCATAAGCTATCAACCACATGAAAGGATGTTCCAGATTACTAATAATAAATGCAAATTGAAGCAGCTCTGAGATTTTACTTCATGTTAGATTGTCAAAAGACTTCAGAAGACAAAAATGATAGTTGTTGAGTTGTGGGAAGGCAGGCACATTAATGCATTGCTGGAGCTATGAAACAGTGCATCCATTCTGGGAAGCAATTTGAAGTCAGATTGAGAAAGTCAAATGTACACAGGCCATTTGATCTAGCAATACCACTAGGCATACTACTCTAAGAAGGTCAGAGTAAAAAGGTTCCACATATACAAACATGTACTTTTTAATAGCATGGAACTGGAAGGAAAGGGGCTACTTGACTCCTGGAGAAATGAGTGAACATACAGTGATGTATGAACATAATAGAACTTTTTTGTGTCTCAAGAATGAAGGTTCAGGACTTCCGCTTTTGGGAGCCAAGATGGTAGAGTAAGAGGTGAGTCTCTCTTACTCTCCCTTATTAACCCCTGAAAGCCCAGAAAATATCACCCCAGGAAAAACCCTGGAACAGCTGAACCAGAAGAAAGATGGAGTGCAGCAGTCCAGTAGCCCAGGTAGCTTGAGGGATTAACTGGAAAGGCCCCTCTTACCCTGGGGGAAGGGGAGCAGCACAGAATGGGAGGCATCCCAGCAAGCTAGTGGAAAGCCCCACCTCAGCATACCAGGAGGAGATCCTGAAGCCCAGGTGGTAGAGCAGGCAAACACCAACACCTTGACCCCGAGTGCCTCATTGAGGATGGGGGAACCGGTAGAAACCAGCTCAGAAAACCACCAGGTACCTGGGCATTCTACAGTAAACAGCTCTCCCAGTGCCTCTGCAAAACTGTGGGAAGCAGGCTCCAAGGGGCCCCAGGCAGATAAACACCCTAGAACATCCATCTGAAAGGAGCTGAAGAAAGTGAAAGGAAGGAAAGGCCCAAGTGAGCAGGAACTATCCAGGAGCCACACTACCCAATCCTAGCCCTAGAGTTCTAGTGTTGCTGATTCTAGCGCAAACACCAGGTAAGCTGCCAGAGCCCTACAGCCTGCAACTGCCAGCACTGGAGGCCCCAGCACACAAAGCCAGTGACCAGGCCCTAGGCGCCCAACACAAGAAGCTTGGGTCAGTGCCCTCTGCTCCGTGGCAGGAGAGCTCAATCTCTTTAAAGGTCAGGAAATAAGCAAACACCATGAGCAAAAAGAAACATATAATAGATTCTTATTATGGGAAGAGTGAAGATCAAGGCAGAAATTCTGAAGAGGACAACATTGTCAACAAACCCACATCTGGAACCTCAAAAGGGAATATGAACTGGTCTGACTCAAGAAGGATTTTTAAAAAGGAGAGAGGTAGAAGAAAAAATGGAAAAAGAAATGAGATGTATGCAAGAGAGAGTCAATCGCTTGGAAGTGGAAAGACAAAAATTAACTGTAGAAAACAAGTCCTTAAAAAATGCAATTGGCCAAATGGGGAAGGAGGTACCAAATCTAATAGAAGAAAACAATTTGTTAAAAATTAGAATTGAGCAAATGGAAGCTAATGACTCTATGAGAGAGCAAGAATCAGTCAAACAAAAACAAAAGAATGAAAAAATAGATGAAAATGTTAAAATATCTCTTTGGGTAAAACAACTGACCTGGAAAATCGATCCAGGAGAGACAATTTAAAAATTACTGGTCTACCTGAAAATCACGATGAAAAAAAAAAAGCCTGGACAGTATCTTTCAGGAAATCATAAAGCAAAATTGCCAAGGTCCTAGAACCAGAGGGTAAAATAGCCATAGAAAGAATCCACTAATCACCTCCTGAAAGAGATCCCAAATTCAAAACACCAAGGAATATAGTAGTCAAATTCCAAAATTACCAGGTCAAAGAGAAAATACTGCAAGCAGCCAGAAAGAAACAATTTAAATATCATGGAACCACAGTCAGGATTACGCAGGACCTTGCAGCTTCTACATTAAAAGATCGGAGGGCATGGAATATGATATTCTGTAAAGCAAAGGAGCTTGAATTACAACCAAGGATCAACTACCCGCGAAAATGAGCATGATCTTTCAGGGGAGGAGATGGAAAGTCAGCCAAATAGTGGACTTCCATACCTTCCTGATAAAAAGACCAGAGCTCAACAGAAAATTTGATCTTCAAATACAAGACTCAAGAGAGACATAAAAAGGTAAACCGGACAGAAAGAAATAACATGTTATTAATAAGGACAAACTCTTTACATCCCTACAAGGGATGTAAACTCTTGAGAACTGTATTGTTGTTATACCATGTAAAAGGGGTATACATAAAGGAGGTGGATATAAATTGACTTTGATGTAATGATGAAAAAAATCTAATCAAGTAGGTTAAATGGATCCAAGTAAGTGAATTAATCTGATCTAACTAAGAAAATGTACTAAGAGAAAAGGAAAGGAGGAGTCAGACAAGGGTAGAGGAAAAGGCACAAAAACCTATTACAGCAGAGGGAAAGAAGGGAGGGAGATGAGTATTGTTTGAACCTTACTTTCATCAGATTTGACTTAAGAAGGGAATAACATAATCAGTTAGGTATAGAAATCTAACATCCCCTATAGGCAGTAGGAGGGAAAAGGGAAAAGAAAAGGGAGGGGCTAATAGAAGGGAGGCAGGATTGAGGGAGGCGGTGGTTAAAAGCAAAACATTAGTGAGGAGGGAAAAGGAGAAAGGAGAAAAGAAAAGCATAAACGAGGGAAGAGGATGAAGAAAAAGACACAGTTATCATAATTGTGAATGTGACATATGAATGTAATGGAATACTATTGTGCTATAAGAAATGATGAACAGGCAAACTTCAGATAAACCTGGAAAGACTTGTATGGTTTGATGCTGAGTGAAGTGAGCAGAACCAGGAGAACGTTGTACACGGTAACAGCCACATTAAGTGATGACTGACTTTGATAGACTTAACCCCTCTCAGAAATACAAGGATCTGACATCTCCAAAAGCCTCATGATAGAAAATGCTATCCACATCCAAAGAAAGAATTATGGAGTTTGAATGCAGATCAAAGCATATCATTTGCTATTTTTTTCTTCTGTTGTGTTTCATTTCTTCTTTCAGGTGGTTCCTCCTATTCTAATTCTTTCTTACAACATAAAAAAAAAAGGTTAAAAAAATGAAGATTTGGGGCAGCTAGGTGGTGCAGTGAATAGAGCACTGGCCCTGGAGTCAGGAGGACTGAGTTTAAATGTGGCCTAAGACACATAACACTTACTAGCTGTGTGACTCTGGGCAAGTTACTTAACCCCAATTGCCTCACATTAAAAAAAAAAAAGGCAAAAAAAAAGATTCAAAAAAGTTTTTTTAAAAAATGAAGA